CGCTGATGTTGTGGAGATGGTGGTGTCCACGCGTCGCTGATACAGGTGTTGGGGAGATTTCGACATGGGCGCGCGGGCATCGCGCGCGTGTGGTCCGTATGATATTTCTCGAAAAAGGGACCGCGCAGCCCCCCCACATACGCCCAAGGACGCTCGAGTGATTCCGGCATGCCCGCGCGAGATGCCCGCGTAGCGATATTTTGCGCAACGCCGAAAACCAAATCTCAAGATCAAACATCGAGCGCCGTTTTTTGTGTAAACAAACAGTGTTGGGCGAACTGCTGTTTTGCCATGACTATTGCACCGAAGCGTGTTTGCTGATTCCGACATGTGCACGCCACGGCGTGCGCGTGTGGACTTCGCCATATGTTTTCAAAAGGGATGCTGGGAACGTGCGATTTTCGTTAAACCACTGCGCGCGCATAGTATCATTCAGCAGGGCTGAGGGGTCGGTAAGGGGACTCCCTCGAATGATACGATTTCGCACCCAAAGTGAACAGTGTGGCAGGGCCACATGTAATTTGGAATGTCCAGGGGGATGGACCAGTGGAAAGGGGATAGACTCGAGCCCATCAGAAACGTGATAATCTATGTTGTAAAACAGACCTGCCCCAATCAACGTGGAGCATTCCACTTGGTGCAATCAAGTGTTGCCTTCAGTGAGTTGTCAACGCACCTGCGCGCGCAAGTGCCCCACCCACCTACACGTAATTTCGAATGCACAACATTTACGGCGGCCATTACGACAATTGGCTGGCGTTCGCTGGTGCATCTCTGCGGCCGCGCTACCCTTTGCAAATTCGCTCGCAGAGCGGCCAGCTAGTTTGGCACAGCCAACGCTGCTGAGGTGGCGCTGCGCATCATATTATTCAACAGGGAGGAGGGAAAGTTAGAATGGACCTCCCAGGATGGTATGATCTAGTAACCAAAATCAGAGATGGAGGCAGAAACGTGTGTAAATCATCCGTCCCACAGGGGTTCGATTAGTGCAGGGGTCTACCTTAGTTTCTTGCACGGCGAATGTAGTTGGTGCAATACTAGGTTGTGCAATCGATGTGGTGCAGTGGATTAAATCGTGATGTGCAATTCGTATTGCGGCGGCGAGGTGGCGATTGGGTGGCGACGGCGACGATATAGCCGCCAAACCGACCTGCAAGCGCAGACGACGGGTGGTGACGAGGCGGAGACGCGGCTGCGACGGCGACGACAGACGCCAGGCCGACCCGCAGGCTGGCTGGCCCAGGTCCTTAGACGACACATGAGAACCCCTAAGTGCAAGCATCTTTGGGAAATATTGAAATCGACTGACAGGGTGCCAGATACTCAGCGGTGGAGTCGTAAGGGCCAAAGAGCAAATGGATGATTGCACATGGTGGGGACATTGGCCAGGACCCAGGCCTCCAACGTCGTGAGTTTTCAAGTGGCCAGCGGAAGGCAGCCGAAGTAAAAACGAGACGAGGACATGTTTGGGTTCAGGGTTTTCGAAGTCGGCCTCATGTATCAGCGCGTTGTGCGCACACGCGGGGAAGCAGGAGCGGGGAGTTGCCGTGAGTTCGACATGCTAGACAGACGAGGCCCGCTGGTGGTGCCGCCTTGTCTAAGTAGTGCGACTTTTACGCGAAGCCCCACCATCCACGTCGGTGCCACCCCCACGACGCCACGGCGGCTCCTGCTACCAGGCTCACCTGCCCCCTTACCTTTTCGGCCAGAAGGGAGGTGAAACACATATACACATAACGACAGCTGCTTGCCCAAATTGGCCAACTCGTGTGCGATCTTAAGTGTGTTCGCGTGAGCGGATGTCTCCCAATCGCACTGATGCGTTTCTTCTAATTTGCATGCGGATGCTTTGCAGGAGTATTGCCCGGTGAGCGAGCTTCGAAGCAGAAGGCATGATGGAAGTGGGGTGTGCCTTGAGTTGCACAGGTGTGTCGCAGATAGAGGACTTCGGCATCGATGCATCCGAACTCCCGAACAAGCTCCTGAAGCGGTGTAGGGCCCGACGCTTAGAAGACCACGGTCCCTCCAACCGGGCTCGGTCAGACTGCCGGCACGACCTTCCCGACAATCGGTCTGGGTGAACAGAACGATGCGGATACGGTTGCTGCCCCGAGAGCTCTGTCAGGGTGCGTTCTGACTTGGATCCCGTGGCGAGTCCGGCCGTCGGCGACGAGGACCTTCGTCGATGGATGCCTGACACGCTTCAGAGTCCGCTCGAGATGGGACCCCAGGCACCTCCCCGTGCCATCCTGGCAGGCCCCCTCGGGCAGTGCCCGGTCGTGGCGACGAGGACCTCCAGGAACGCACCAGGACCTCCGGGGCGCAGTCGTCGCCGTCGGCATCGGCGCGCCGCGCTCCTCTGGCTGTCGGGACCTGGCCAGTCGGCCGGGGCCCGCGGCGGGCGGTGGGTCTCATTGTGGCCCCGTCGGCGCTGTTGGGCCGAGCCAGTGGGCCGGGGCAAAGGGCAGAATGGCCGTGCGCCGGGTTGGCGGCAGCGGGAGGAAAGAACCCGGAAGGATCTTTGATGCTTCCTGGGCCCCCCCCTCCCTCTTGAGCTCTCGGCTGGCAACCAGCCTTGTCCTCCCCCTCCTCGTCCCACAGCTCGAGGTTCCCTCAGCCTGCGCCGGTGAGTTTCAGCGGCCTTCTTCCACCCCGTGGCACAGTGAGGGGGGACAGGGAGGAGCTTGAAGTTCCCATAGCTTGGGTCGGTGACCTTCTGTGGGCTTCAAGCGGCCCTCTGCGAGTGCGATGACGACGACGGCGGCGGCGACGGCGACGACGGCGAGTGCCTTAGCGGTGGCCGCTGCGGGGGGGAACGCACTTTCCCAGTATTGGTGGGAGCCCCAATCCGTCAATAGTCGCGGAAGAATTCAGCATGTTCCATTATTGGGGAGTTTGAAGACCTTTCTGGGTTAGGTGGAGGGGGGGGTCAGAGGAGCAGAAGGCACTCATACCGCTAATAATCGCGCAAGAATCCAGCATCAGTTTCCATTCTTGGGGGGGGTGAAGACCCTTCTGGGTAAGGTGGAGGGGGGGGCAGAGGAGCAGCAGGCTCTCATACCGCTGCGTTTCCCTAGTTTTCGGGCCTCCTTGGAGGCCCTCGTCGCCACCGCTGGATTCGCCTCGAAGTCCGAGTCAGAACACACCCCGGGAGAGGTCCTGGGAGTTGCGGTATCGGTACCACGTGGTTTTCACAAGGATCTGACAGGCCCTGGATGAGGATAAGCCGCTCCATGAGCGTTCTGGATTCTGGAACGTTTGAATCGTGCCTGTCCCTCTTCAAAATATTCCAAAATGGTCTTGGGACGATTTGTTGATTATTTGTTGGCTCTTTTTGAAAATGTGTTGCCTATTTTTTAGTTTTCGTCCAAAACCCGCCTGTAGGAGGACATGCCCGACCTAATGCAATTCCCAAATTTAGTCAAAACATAGTCCGGGGACGATCGTTGGATGAATGTTTGGATTGTGTTTGAGCATTGGTTGCCTCTTTTTTAATTACCTCTCGTGCCAAATCTTTTGTTTACTTCTCGTCCCAAATCCGCCCCTTTTGTTTTTACTTCTCGCCCCAAATCCGCCTCTAGGGGGACACTTCTCGTCCCAAATCCGCCTCTCTGGGAGGACACGCCCCACCGGATGCAACGCTCCCCGGGCGTGGCGGAGCCTCCGGGGACGACCGCGGCGCCCTAGGGGCACGCCCTCCGGACCCGCCGGCTCCTCTCGAGGCTCCCACTTGGTGTCTGCTGCCCTCCCTCCGGGGCGAGGTCCTCGCCCTGCCCTCGGCGTCAGGACGTCGGGCGATCGCAGACACGGAGGAGGAGGGGGGAGGGAGGAGGAGGAGGAGGAGGAGGAGGAGGAGGAGGAGGAGGAGGAGGAGGAGGACGAGGAGGAGGAGGAGGAGGAGGAGGAGAAGGAGGAGGAGGAGGAGGAGGGAGGAGGAGGATGGAGGAGGAGGAGGAGGAGGATCAGGGGCGCTCGCTCCCCGGCTGGCGACATGCGCCCCGCCCGCTTCTGGAGGAGGGATGAGGGAGGATGAGGACGAGAGGAAAAGGGGGGAGACGGATCTCCGGCGATCGCAAACATGGATCAAGGGGACGTGGATTATCGGGGGCTCCCAAACGGGGTGGTGACCACACCGTGTGGTGAGTCGGTGGGGATTCGGGGTCACCGCACGGTTTTGGGACTTGGGTCGTTCTCCGAGGATGTCTCGGGCGACTGGAGCCTCCAGGGTCCCAAAATCGTGTGGTGACGGACCGTGCGGTGAGGTCTTTGCGGATTTCGAGGTCACCGCTGGGTCTGTCACCGCACGGTTTTGGGACACCCAAGATTAGCGACGGGCCCCGTTTCCATAGGAACATCGGATTTCCGCCGCCGAGCGGGGCGGCACCGGCCGCATTTTGGGGAGGGCACCTCCCCCGATCCATGGATGTGGCGACCGCGCGCCAAATCCACGGATCGCTGATCCATGTTCGGGCGCCACCGAGGAAGGCGCACCTTACCAGCGCCCTGGGGGCCTTGGTGGGAGTTCAGGGCCCCCCTGTGGGGCCGTTTGAGGCCCGTGTCCTTACTTTACACCCCCTATCCTGTAAATGACAGTTTTTTTTTCCGTGTACGCCGACGCGGATTCGACAGGGATTCGACACGGATTCGACACGACTTCGACACGGATTCGACACGGACTCGACGCGTTCGTCACGGATTCGACACTGATTCAACGTGCTTCGCGGCGCGACGGGGCAGGCAAAGCTCCCCGAAGATGCAATACAAGAGCGTGTTTTTATTGTTTTGGGCATAGCGGGCGTTATAGCCTCCGGCCCCCCCCAATACAGTAACGCCCCTCCCCAGTGCGCCCCAGGCACTACCGCCGTGCGCATCGGCATCCGCATAGGCGTCCGCATGGGAGTCTAGTCCGCAGTCGTCGCCGTCGTCGTCGTCTTCGTCGTCGTCGTCGCTCGTTGCTCGTCGCTCGTCGCTCATCGCGTCGGCGGCGTCTGGGAATGCCTAGGAATGACCGAGGACGGGTAGCAGCAGCATGTAGGTGCCGATTCACACCACAGCGACTGTACACACCACAGTGCCTGCGGGCGCCACAGCGCCCGTGTACACCACACAGCCGATGTACACCGCAGAAGCCGTGTGCCAGCGGGCACCACAGCGGTTGTGTACACCACAGCGCCTTCGTACACCACATCAACCGTGCGCAGCACAGCACCAGTGTACGCCACAATGCCTGCGTGCACGACAGCGCCTGTGTACACCACGGCGCCCGTGTGCACCACAGCAAACGTTTGCAACAGAACACAACTGTTGCATATATATATATAATATCTGAAGGAAGCCTCCTGGCAAAATGGAGTGCCTGTGGATTCCACAGAACAAATAACCATTTTGTCAAGAAATGTGAAAGGAATCCTTTTGGAAGAAGGAGCGCCGCTGGAATCTAGGAGTCCTCCCGCATCATCTTAACTCCTCCCATATGCGTCCTTGAGGCTCCACCAGAATTGGCCATCCAAGAACCAAGTGGACTGATTCAATCGACATTTCGGCGGTGCATGCTGAGATGCGCACGTGCGCTGTAGCGCCGACCCGCATGACAGGGGGGAAGGGTGAGGGAGGAGGCCGCCGAGGAGGAGGAGGAGGAGGAGGAGGAGGACGTGGAGGACGTGGAGGTGGCGGTGGAGGTGGAGGAGGAGGGAGGAGGGAAGAACGTCCTATCAGCACTTCCGCGGCGTGTTGTTTAGCTGTCCGCAGCAGATCCTCACTTACATGCTTCTTCTACCTGTCCTGTGCTCGCAGGCGTTGTGGTGTACATTGGTGCTGCGTTGCACGCGGGTGTTGTGCTGTAGACAGGCGTTGTGGTGTGCCCAGGCGCTGCGGTGCGCGCGACCATTGTGGTGTACACAGGCGCTGTGTTGCACATGGCTGCTACGGTGAAGCGCTGTCGTGCACGCAAGCACTGGTGTACACAGGCGCTGCGTTGCACACGGCTGTTGCGGTGTACGCAGGCGCTGTGGTGTACACACGCGCTGTGGTGCACGCGAGCACTGTGGTGCACAAAGGCTTTCTGGGGCAGATCGCCACCTACATGCTGCTCCTACTTGGCCTTGGTCATCCGTAGGCATTCCTGGACGCAGCTGGCGCGGACCGTGACGTCATCTGGGGAGGGGGGGGGGCCAGTATACCGGAAAATAAAAAATAGGCTCCTGTGGTGCCGGAACCACACGGCGGGGGGGGGGCGTCACGTTACGTTCTACCCCTCCCCCCCCTTATAACGCCCATGATCGTCGAGAATAAAGAAACGCGCTCCAACTGTCCTGCGTCCCCCGATCACCCTCCGTGTTGATGGCCTCCCCGCTCGCAGCGTTCGCATCCGCCCTCCGAGAGAGCGCGGGTCGGCTTGCGCGGGCCTTGGGCGTGCGCGCGGGTTCCGAGGAACTGGGCATGCGGCAGCTGATCCCTGGTTCCACCAACGCGCCGGAGGACCTCGGGCGTCCTCTTCGCCGTGCCCGTCGCTCCCTGGGCTGGGTGGGGGTGGGGGCGGGGCACTGTCCGTCCCGTGGCCCCCCGAGGGGAGGACGCGCTGCCCTCGGGAGCGTTCGTGCCTCCAGCATGCCAGCGTTTGTGTTTTATCCTCCTCTCTCGCTCTCTCTCCTTGTTTCTTTATTTCTTTATTTCTCTCTCTCTCTCTCTCTCTCTATCCCTCTAGAGAGAGAGAGAGGGATAGAGAGAGAGAGAGAGAGAGCCAGCGTGAGGACAGGTGGACAGGTGGTCAGGGAAAAGGGCCCCGAGGGAAGGCGTTCTGCTGCATATTGTTCGTTCTCGGGGCCCCCTCTCCGGGCCGCGCGGGGCCCGTCGACAGGCGACTCACTCGGGGAAGGGACTTGAGTGCAGGACGCGCGTCCCATGAGACCGTTCTTCCTCTTGCCAGCCGTAAGCCCAGACCCCCTCGCGCTTTGGCAGAAAAACGCGACGGCAGGCTTTTCGCTTTTTTCGGCTTCTGGGGGCCCCTACCGGGGCCTCGGGACCGTCAACAACACGATGCAGGATAAACAGTCGGTCCTGGGGCAGGGGTCCAGACCTCAGGGGGTCCAAAATCACGACGTCGAGGGTCTGTGAAGCGCTCCCAGGGCGCACGTGTTCATCGATCATGCGTCTCCACGATTCTCCCTTCGAGCCCATCTGTCGTGTGCCCGACCGTGTTGACATGCTTTTCGGCGTTTTCGGATCGGCATCATGCCGTGATCTCGCATGCTCTGTGTTTCTTCGAGCGTTACCGTGTTTCACTTGATAGCACGTATTCGATGCAGAAGCATCGTGTCTGTATTTGTGTTTGCGCTGAGCTTGAACGCATGGCATGGATGCCATTTAGCGCTTGCATTTAAAATAATTGGAGAACATGTTGAGGACACGCTGAACAAGCAGCAACAGTGTGTGTTCACTGTATCCGCCAAGTGCTTCTCCCAGCTTGGCTCCTGGTCCGTTCTCGTTCTAAGTCTTCCGATGCACAGCTCAATCACCCTGTCGCCCAGGACGCATACCGTGGTCCTATCCCCCTTGTGAGGGAAGCTTTCGAGCAGACTGGAACCTGCCTGGGATCGACGACACTAGTGCTCGCTGTGCTGGACAACAGCACCAGAATCCACGGCGAGCTGGGAAGGGCTTTCATTGTCGAGTCAGGGTCCCAATGATCACATTGGTAAGGGCTTTCATTGTCGATAGTCTGCAGCTCATCAACACGTCGACGGGGAGATAGAGGGGGGATGATAGGAGAGAGAGAGAGAGAGAGGGAGAGATCAGGAGGATGGGAAAGATGTGGTTGCCGAGCCCGGCCGAGCCCGGGACCGATTGGTTCCGCCCAACCGATGGCGCTGCTCCCGTCCATTTGGAAGGGCATCGGAAAAGACAGTGTTTTTTTACCTTGCCGAAGCTCTCGGCATTCTTGAAAACGTGTTGCTAAACTATTGACGATGGTGGCCAATGGATGAAGGAGCACATGTGCCAAGGCCGACCGCTTGCCTGCGGCAGCCCCCCCCCGCGACCGTGCCAGCGAAGCATATCGAATTTCACGAGGATGGTTTCCGCCGAGCTCTGCCGAAGAGGATCCGCAGACCGACCGTACTGGGGCCGTCTGGGTGGCATCGCTGCGATGTCGTGGCGTGGCATGGCAACAGCTCTGTATGTGTGTTGCTTCTTGGGGTCTTCTTGGGGGGGGCCTCTCTGAGGCAGTTTTTGGACATAGAGATTCTGGGGGGCCTCTCAGGCCTCGGGGTCCGGGGCGTCTTGTGCGCGATGGCGCCACCGAGCTCTGCCAGAGATGCGCGCCGGGCCGGTTCAGGGACCGTTCGGGAGCCCTCCAGGGGCAGATGGTCGAGGATGGCCAAAAGAGAGGTGATGACGATGGGGGGAGGTAGATATCATGGCCACGGCCATGCAATCTATACGGGCTTGCGTCTTTCAGTATGACTCTGCCCTCCCCCCCTCGTCCGCGCACATGCCTCGAGCCATGAGCTGCGATCCTCCGTATTTGGAAGCCCCCCCCTTTCGAGTAGGGGATCGAATCTAGAATTGGTTTATCCGTGAGGGCTTCGCCCCCTGCCGCTTCCCCCCTCTCTCGGAGAACGGGAGAAGCAAAAGCTAAATCATGAGGTCTGGGCGCCGCCGTGAAGCAGTGTCGGGACCTGTTTGTTTTTTCGACCCTGACCCTACGGATCTGCGTCACGGGTGCCACCAGATTGCAGAAATGTGGCAAATCCTGTGTGTTTTTGGACCCTGACCCTACGGATCTGCGTGAGGGGTGCCACCGTATTTCAGAAATGTGCCAAATCCCATATGTTTTTGCACCCTGACCCCGCCGATCTGCGTGAGGGGTGCCACTGAATTTTAGACATGTGGCAAATCCTTTGTGTTTTTGAACCCTGACCCTGCCGATCTGCGTGAGGGGTGCCACCGAATTTTTAGAAATGTGGTAAATCCCATGTGTTTTTCGACCCTGACCCTGCCGATCTGCGTGAGGGGTGCCACCGAATTTCAGATATTTTGCAAATCCCATGTGTTTTTGCCACCTGACCCCGCCGATCTGCGTGAGGGGTGCCACTGTATTTTAGACATGTGGCAAATCCTTTGTGTTTTTGAACCCTGACCCTGCCGATCTGCGTGAGGGGTGCCGCCGAATTTCAGAAATGTGGCAAATCCTTTGTGTTTCTTGACCCTGACCCCGCCGATTTGGGAATTTCAAAAATGTGGCAAATCCTTTATGTTTTTTGACCCTGACCCCGCCGATCTGCGTGAGGGGCGCCACCGGATTTCAAAAGTGTGGCAAATCCCATGTGTTTTTGGACCCTGACCCCGCCGATCTGCGTGAGGGGTGTTAGTTTTTACCCACCCCAGCAATTCAGAGCATACGATTTTTCGTCGTAGAAATGATCGTTTCGGGCTTCCCCCCGCGCGGTTCATCAACAAGGAACAGTAAGCAGCAAGAAGTCAACAAGGAACAGTAAGCAGCAAGAAGCAGAACTGTAACAGTGGAAACTGGAAGCTGCAACTGGTACAGGAAACTGCGAAGCTGAGCCCTGCAGCCTGGTGGCCTCACAAGGGGGCCGGCGGACTCCAAAATTAATTTTCTCATCGAATCGGATGGAACATACTTAGACTTCTCAGTTGAATTATCGAGATGTGACGCATTCGTTGTAGTTTCGACGGGGGTAGTCAAATTTCGGGTAAATTAATTCTGCAGCCGATCCGCTACTCGACTCTTGGACGCCCTCGATCGGCGGGGCTTGTTTGTTCTTATATAACCTCGCCATGCATCAACAGCGCCTCGCGCGCCATTGATTCCCCTCCTCTCTCTCCCCTCCTCCTCCACCTCCTCCTCCTCCTCCTCCTCCTCCTCCTGCGCATCCTCCGCCTCCTCCTCCGCCTCCTCCGCCTCCTCCTCGTCGTCCTCCTCCTCCTCCTCTCCTTTCTCTTCCCTCCTCCCATCCGTGCCTCTTTTTACCTCACGTCCTTTTCGGCATACCAAAGGCCCCCGTGGGTATGTCCGCATGGTGGGCCAACGCCCATACCCCTCACACGTTTCGTGGCACCATGGGCACCGTCCCCTCCTTCGTCCCACCGTGTGTTTGTTGGGGCAGTCTTGGGTATCTCTGGTTTTTTTCAGGGGCTTGCTGAATTTGGACACCTCGTTGGGGTGGGGCATTCTGGGGACACCGTGTGGCGCATGTCGGGGCCCCTGGAGACATCATAGGCGAAAGGGGTAATGCCGCAGTTTTGTGATAGTCTTGTGGCCATGACGGGCACTGGCGAGCGACACCAAGTGGCGCGATGTCATAAAAAAGGACGTGCAACAGATATCGCCGTTGGATAACCGCAACAACGCCAACAGAGAACCGAGCTGATTTCTAACACAGTCCGCTTTCTAACACGCTTCCAACGTGGCGTGCCCACGGATTGGACGAGGGTTGCAAGGTGAGTGTATCCAGGTCGTTGTAAAGCGGATTGGCCGAAGGCGATCTTCGCTAATGTTGCGTGCAGGGCGATTGCACCTTAGACGAATGTGGTAATTGCGCGTTTCCCTGTCTGTGAACTTACACTTGTCTGGTTCTCCCAGTCGCCCTCTCTCTCTCTATCTCTCTCCCTCGCTAAGTGTTGCACGTCTACGTATTGGCCTTCTGTGCATTCTATGAGCCACGTGCGTCTGGATGTGCGCGTCGACACCTACAGTAGGCGGATTCGTGCATGTACTTGTTTGCGGTGGCAAGCCCACGTGCACGTGCAATCGTACGGGACCGGGCCTGTGCAGAGCATGCGCAGCTGCACGTGCACGCGTACGTCTACGTGCAGGTGCGTCAATTCAATCAGTTCAGCATGTGGACGCGCAGGGTCACGTGCATGTTCTGGTGAGTGCGCGTGTGCATGCGCATGCGCGCGTGTTTTCAAGTGTACGTTGGCGTCGGGTGTGGTCACATGCTGGTCCAGTGTGCGGGTTTTGCCCGACTGCTTGTGCAAGCGCGCGGAGATACATTTCGGCAGTGTATCCAAGGGGGGAACGCTGCTGCGCCGACGCCTAGAACAGCAGGTGCCGCTTCCTATCTCGTATTCTCTCGTGCTGCCTTGCGTGGATTTCCTGCTGGTACATCCTCCTCTTCCTCCGCGTCTGGCACGGGGCTCCTTGGAGGCTTCTTGGAGGCTTAGGGGGGTGGCCTCTTGGAGTCTTTTTAGTTCTCCGCTGGGATTTGGGGGCTTCTCTGAGGGCTTCTTAGGAACCTCTGCCTCGTGGGGGCATGTTGGATGCCTTGAGGGCTGTATCCCTTCAAGCGGCGTCTCTGGGCCCTCGTTGACTTTCGGGAGCCGGGGAACGTGAGAACATGCAATCACTCGAAAACATCTCGGACGTCAGTTATTTTATGCCTCCTCAGGACCTCTTTGGGGGTCTTCTTAGGCTCCTCTTGGGGCGTGTTTTTCTTGTCGAGGTCTCTCCTGCGCGTTGAAGCCTTCCCGGAGCCATCTTGTGAGGCATTTCGGGCATTCGGGCGACCACGGAGGGCGGATTTTGGGAGCAGGAGGGCCCCGGAGGTGCGTTGCGGAGCTATCCCCTCCCCTGCAACGGGAGGCTCGACCCCAGGGGAGGGAGAAGGGGGGGGGGGGAACGGCCCAATGTCTCCCACGCGTTTCTGCCCCCGAGAAGCGGGAGTTGGCGGATTCTTCGGGGGTGGATAGACCTCCTACCCTGACACGTCGATTTGGGAATTGGCCGTTTTCGGTTCGCGAGAGGGCGTCGCTGCCGTCATTTTTGCGCGGGTCCAGGTCCGTCGGTTTCGGTCCTAGGCCGTTTTCACTAAAGGCAGGTGTACTAAAGAGAGGTTTGTCCACCGCCGAAGTCTGCAGGTGTGGCAGACAAACAGAGGAGGAGGAGGAGGCGTGAGGGCCATGATCCCCCACGAGAGAGGACGCTTGCACGCTGGACGCGTTGGATGGAGCTGCTGGACCATCAACCAGCAGCCCGCTCGTAATCAGTCAAGACGTTGGAGTAAGAACCGCTGGGGGCTCGGGAGGGTCGATGTTCAAGTCGGGCAGGTCCCTCGAAACGAGGAATCCGCCAGAATAGTACAAAGCAGTTTGGGGACGATCCGTCGTGCTCTGTTGACTATGCTTGATGATTTTTTGATTGCGTTTAGCTTGTCGTCCACGATCCGCCTGTAGGAGGACTCGGGGTGACCCCAAAGGGGGTCCAGCTGAAAGGGGGTGGTGCAATAGATGTGGGGCAATTGTACTGCCCATGTATTGCGCTGGAGAATTGTATCGCATTGCATTGCAAGTAATGCGCTGCACGCGAAAATCCAGCAATACACATGCGCCCCGGACTGCATCGCACGCCCCGAATGTACTGCAACCCCACAAACCTGTTGCACCGAATCCATTGCACCACCCCCTTGTCGCTGGACCCCCTTTGGGGTCAACCCGACCTCTACGTGGCGCTCCGCGCTCCTCCTGGTAGCGCGAGGGTTGTCTTTGGCGGCGAGCGAGCAAGGGGGTGGGGGCAGCGAGAAGAGGCGGGCCCTCTCCCGAAGAACATGTCTTTCATATGGACAAGAACTAAGAATGTGTGGCGGTCCGGGCGGATTTCTTGGATCTGCGCTGGGACCCCCCCTGGCGGCACCTCCGGCGCCGCCCCTGGCGCAAACCGCGCGCCAGGGAGGGGGGTCCGGCGGAGATAAAAGAAATCCGGGCGGACCGTCGAAAGTTTATGTTTCTGCAGTTTTTCTTTTACTTTAGGGAAGGGAGAAGGGGCGGGCCTTCTCAGAAGGCTCAGAAGTCCCCCAGGCCTTTCACAGAAGGTTTCTAGGCCTTCCATAAAGACGCAGAAAACAACTGTTCACAAGGCGCGAGCTCTTCCGAGAAGCCCCGCCGCCTTATTACATACTACGAAGGCCTTCTTCTCCTTCCCCCCCCCTCGCTCGCCGCCAATACATATAGATAGATATATAGATAGGTGTATATATAGATATAGAAAGAGAGAGAGAGAGAGAGAGAGAGAGAGAGAGAGAGAAAGAGAGAGAGAGCAAGAGCCTGCAAGCCGCGAGGCAAGCTGCACCCCATGATCGCCGTCATATCCATTGGGGACTGTGAGCTGCTCATCCTGCGCCGCCTCCACGGCGAAGCCAGTGGGGGCACTGGATGTGAGGGGGGCGTACACCTGGCCTTGCTGCACACACCGCCCCCCGGCCCCGGGCATCGCTCGGACGTGTGTGCTTTTGTTTGTGTCGGCGAGGACCATCGAGGGGCATCCTGGGTCGTCTTACGAGACAGGCGCTCCCGAGGTCGAAACCCACGCATGGAAGGAGCGCCCGCGGTCCCGGATGCGATGCTTTCTCATGCGGAACGCGCCAGCGCTGTCGGGCGGGCCATGCGATCGAAGTAGGCTAGTAGGTCTTTCCAGTCAAGGAGGAGGAGGAGGAGGAGGGAGAGGAGGAGGAGGGAGAGGAGGAGGAGGAGGAGGAGGAGGAGGAGGAGGAGGAGGAGGAGGAGGACAAGGAGGAGGAGGAGGAGGAGGAGGAGGAGGAGGAGGAGGAGAATCCGTGTTTTGCCGATCGGCGCGGGCCCTCGCTCCCCCCCTGGCCCATGGAGTGGATCCTGGCGGTGTCTGGCGCCCGTTTCGGGCGGGTGGAGCCTCCCCCACAGGACGCCCTGTTGCAAACCGTCGCAGAGAGCAGAGGTCCAGAGCCAGACCCCCCCTCCCCCCTCCCTTCTGCCCAATGTCGAAACTCCGAAGAAGAAGAAGCGTTCACCAAACCAAGGGTGCCCCTGTGTCTTATGCGTTCGCGTCCCATGCCCTTAGCGTCCCTGGCGTCACGGGGCCCTCGCAAGGTCTCGTGGCCTCCCTGGTCAGGCTCGACCGCGTCACGAAGTCACACCGATCAAAGGCGCCGCCTTCTTGCACTCACGTTGCGAGGGGATTGAAGCAGGGGCCGATGTCTCCCCCTCGGCTGTCTACGGTCAGGAAGCGTGTCGCGCCACCGGCTCTGGCCCACCACGCTTCAGCGCGACACGCTCTCCACGTCCGGGTCCGCAGGCGTCAGCGTGGCCCGAGCCTTTGGAAGCCTCCCGCCCCGCGGAGCAGCGCGACACGTTATCCTCCGCTCAGATGGCATGGCTCATCGCAGGGGCCGCCGCCGCGACATGCAAGCAACAGCTTCCGACCGCAGACGGGCTCCCCTCGAGCGGCGCCGAGGCGCTCGTCCTCGCTCCGCGGCTGCCGGGGCCAGCAAGGCGGCGCGGTGCCCTGCACGGCCGGCAGCGCGCAGATGCTGCAGCTGGCGCGTGCCCCCGTCCTGGTCCCAGACATGATGGCGTCGTAACAAAAATCAGGACGGGAGGTTTTTCGCTATTTTCGGCCCCTGGGGGCCCTCGCCGGGCCTCGGGACCGTCAAAAAACGACTCAGGACGAAAAACCGGCCCCAGGGAAAGGGTCTAGATTTCCAGGGGCGCCGTCCTGAAAAAATCAGGACGTCGCATGTCTGGGGTCTCACCAGCGGTGGCGCGACGCCAGCGGCATCCTCGGCAGCTGGGGCTGCTCGCGAAAGAGCTTGTCTGCGAGGGGCGTCTGCAGGACCGCACGGCTCGTCCAGGGCCCGGCGTGGGAGGCGGGACTCCTGGAGCCGGTGGCCTGCCATGGCCCCCCCTCGCGGCCTCTCGGGCACCTCCGTCGTGGCCCCCTCCTGCGTGTAGTCCCCCGTCGTGTTCCCCCGTCGTGGACTGCGTGGAGCTGTCTGTGGTCTCCTGCCGCGAGGGTGCCAGTTCTGTTGGGGGGGGCCGGGAGGGGGGGGGGGAGCTGGAGGCGGCGAGGACGACGGCCAGCGTTGAGGGCCACGGCGCTGTGGAAGAAAAGCGGGAGGATGAGGAGGCGGCAGGACACGGCAATCTGGCGGTGCGCCCGGGTCCCGGCCAGCCGGAGGTGGAGGAGGATCAGGGCTCAAGAGACGGGGGTCAATGCAAACGGGGAACACAGGATCCTGCAGGGCCAGGGTCGCACTGAACCGGGTTTGGGAACAGGATCCTGCAGGTTCCTGGAGACCTTCGCATTGACCCGGGCTTCGGTGCAGGATGTTGCAAGGCTTGGCTGACCTGGGTCTGGATTGACCTTAGTCAGAAGATCCCCGAGATGATCGACGACACGTATCAGTGACCCGTCGTCGGAAGGGAATTTATGGTGCGGGCGCATGTCTCCCGCGTGTGAAGGCGAGATGAACTCGGCAATTCGGCGGTGCTCCCATGTCTCTGCCCCGGCGGGGCGGAGGCGGAGGGGGACGACGACAGCGATGTTGACGGTGGCGGCGAAGAGGAGCGGACGCAGGGACGGGCCGTCCTGCCTCGGCGCTCCGTCGACTGCACGCAGGGGTGACCCTGCGCCGACGTGCCCTTTGGTGCGGGCCTACTGTTAAGTAGGGCATGTCCCTCTACAGGAGAAATAATCAAAATTACCCCAGTGCGGCCCTACCTAGAAGTTGGAGCCCCTAGGGAAGCAGCATTGGTTGCTATGCTATGCTATGCCATGCTATGCTGCGCTATGCTGCGCTATGCTATGCTATGCTATGCTATGCTATGCTATTCTATGGTATGATATGATATGCTATGCTGCGCTATGTTATGCTATGCTATGATATGATATGGTATACTATGATATGATATATCATGCTGCGCTGTGCTAAGCTATGATGTATTATGACATGCTAAGCTGCGCTATGAAATGCTATGCTATGCGATACTGCGCTATGCTATGATATGATATGGTATGATTGGCTATGTCATGCTATGGTATGCTAAGCTAAGCTATGCTGTGCTATGCTGCGCTGTGCTATGCAGTGCTGTGTTGTGCTGTGCTATGCTATGCTATGTTATGCTGCGCTATGCTATGATATGCTGGGCTATGTTATGACATGCTGTGCTGCGTTATGCTATGCTACGCTCTGCTATGCTATGATGTGCTCTGCTATGCTAAAGCTCGGCAAAGCTAAGATGAAGGTGAGCTAGCCTAAGATAAACCTGAGCTAAGATGACGATAAGTTAATCTAATATGAAATAAGCTAAGCTAAGATGAGATGAGCAACGCTAAGCTAAGGGGACGTAACTGGGGGAACCGCGGGGCGGATGCCGGGGGAACCGCCCGGGGCGTTTTCCATTGCCCGGCCCCTTTAAGCTAAGAGAGTAAGAACCCTCTAGGCAGAGCCTAGGTAGGGAAATAGTCAAACATAGTTGGAATCTGTTTTGACTACTTCCCCTTTTTCGTCCTAAATCCGCCTGTAGGAGGACATGCCCAACCTAAGCCTACTGGGGGCCCCCGATCGCCGAACGCGATGCGGTAATAGCGTCCTGCGCGCTTGTGTGTTGGGTCCCCCATCGGCCCCCCAAGAGCCGTGCGCCAAAGGTCGCTTTCACCCAGGGTCACTCTGGCGTGTTGCCGACTTCCCCAGCGCCGACTCGGCCCCCGCGCCCCCCTCTTGGAAGGGCAGAGAACGTGCATGCGGTAGTTTCGTGCCGTGTGGACGCGGCGCCGAGCCCGGCGCAGGCGTTCAAGGTTGCACCCAACAAGTGGCCCTGGCATCGGCTCGTGCCGACCGACCTTCGCGGTTTTCAGAGGCCAGTGCGCAAGTCGTCAAGACACGAACTTGCCGTAGTGCAGGGTCCTGGCGATCCTGAAACCCTACGCAGCCGATGGCATGATGATTTTGAATCCGCGGGCCCCACACGTCTCGACTCGAACCCCTCCTCCCCGCGGGCAGCTTGACGACCCGAATCCCTTTTGGATGGCCCCAGGGCCCACGAGATGAGACAACTTGCCAGGAGCGCGGAGCAACAAACCAGCCGGAGGTTTTGGGCCTCCAGAGCGGCTGAGGACAGCGGAGACGGTATCGGCTTCGGTCAGGAGCGTTGGCTTAGCGTGTCGCGCCGCCGGTTCTGTCCCACCTTGCTTCGGCGCGGCACGCGCACTTCTGCCCCATTTCCGAGCGGCAGCGTCCTGAGCATGTCCGAGCCCCCCGCCACGCCAAGCGGGGCGACACGCTAATTATCAGCTTGAAGGGCACAGCGTGCCGCCGGGGTCGCCACCGTGAGACGCTGTGCAAAGGCTCCCGACCGTAAGTCTCGAGCCTTTTCCCATGGGTATAGCGTTTCGACCCAGGTCCATTGTGGAATTCGCGTGCATGGAAGTACTTGACGGGGATGGCGGGGGGAGGTCGATGCGGTCTGGGCTGGCATGGAATGCGTTCAGATGGGAGATGCACGAGGGGGCATAATTACAAGCAAATTGCAAGACGCGAGTGTGAAGGGTTAACTGCGGCTGCGGTGAAGTTGTGGATTGTCTAGTTCACATTGGATAGCACATGTGGTGCAATCTAGGTGTTGCAGCCTGTTTGTCTTAATACATATATGCACGTTCATACATACACACACACCTGTTTATGTCTGCTTACTTATGTGTATATATATTGACACACGCCAGCCATATATGTATATATATATATATATATATATATATATATATATATATGCGTACATACATATATGTGCGTCCGTGTTGTGCACTCTCTGTTGTGCAACCTACGTTGTGCAATCCATGTGGTTCCTTCTATGGGGTACAGTTCATGTTGTACAAGCTATGTGGTGCGACCCGTGTGGTGCAATCTATGCGGTGCAATATGTATGTTGCAGTGTTCGCGGTGCTCTATATTGTGCAATCTAGGGCGGCGACGGGGCGGCGAAGGCGACAGCATAGCCACCACTTCGACAGACAGGCCCAGACGACGGGCGGCGACGAACTAGGCTGCGACGGGGCAGCGATGGCGACAACATAGCCGCCAGACCGACAGACAGGCGCAGACGACGGTCGTATACGAAGCGGCGATGGGCGGCGACACAGATGCCTCGAGAAGTAGAGACTCCAAGGGAAAGCTCTGTTTGGGGGAATAATGGTCTGTCGGTTATGACTACTGGTGTTTCCCCTGGTGCGAAGGAAGAGGGCCTGGGATCCTCAGCGACGGTCTCTCAGAAGCCTTTGGCTTCTGAGGCCGACCCGCGGCGCAAAGCCGGCACCGTGGGTGGATGTTTGGAAGCCCAGGGGTCCACGTGCGCTCGGGGAGGAGCAAGTCCGATGTCGGAGGCCTTTGGGATCAGCCAGGCGCGGGCCACTCATGCGTTCTCTTCGCGATTCACCCGCCCCTTGCCAGCACCACCCATGCCCGTGCTGCGCCCACGACTTGACGTCAGCCGCGGTCAACTTGGTTAGGCGAAGGCGAAGCGGGAGTGGAAGGAAGGTGAGCGTGGGGAAGGTGAGCACAGCGCCCTGCAGCCTGTGTTCCACACGGAGATGCAGCGCATCGACGGCCACTTCCAGACCCCGCTGCAGCTCGCGCGGGTCGACGACCGCATCGACCCGGACTTTCACGACGACATCACCATAGAGGCCGTGGCGGAGGGAAGCGGCGGGAAGGGTTGGGTGGGGCGAGGGTTGGGGTTCCGTCTGATGGGAAGGCCCTCCTTCAAATCTTCGTGTTCGACGTGTGCGTATTCCTTTCGACCTTGTCCCAGACGAACATGCGCTTCCTTGTCCCGCTTCCCTCCGCCGTCTCTTCCTCCTCCTCTATTCAAGGTTTCTCCCCTTCTTCCTTCACTACCGCTCCCAACTACTCATTCTCATCCTCTGCCCCCTTCCGCCTTCTTCGGCCTGTCTCCTTCCTTCCTTATACCTCATGCTCACCCTTATCCTCGTCCCTGTCCCTCCTCCTCGCTCCTCCTGTTCGCCAGTTAGCTTGCCGCTTCTCGCGGATTGGCCACCGCTTGCAGGATAGGCCTACTCCCCCAACCACTACCCAGGCAACTCCTCCTCACTCCTGCCATCATCATCATCATCATCATCATCATCATCATCATCACCATCAGCATCATCATCACCGTCGTCATCATCATCGTCACCATCATCACCATCATCATCGTCACCACCAGCAGCACCATCACCATCACCATGCGTTATCATCATCATCAGCAGCATCATCGTCACCATCACCATCACCATCCTTAACATCATCACCCGTTCTAGTACCATAGCCATCACCATCGCCACCAGCATCATCAACATCAGCATTAGACAGCGACACCATCAGCATCAGTATCACAATCATCCTCAACATCATCGTCATCATCATCACCAACACGATCTGCAGTATCATCACCTTCGCCATCAGCATCAGCATTGCCATCATGATCGTCATCATCGTCATCATCATCATCATCATCATCATCGCCAGTATCCTGATCATCATAAGCATGACCATCCGCATCATCATCAGCATCGTCATCTACACCATTTTACCCGCATCACCATCATCATCATCATCAACATCATCATCATCATCTTAATCATCATCATCATCATCATCATCATCATCATCATCATCATCATCATCATCATCATAATCGTCGGTATTAGCATCATCACTACCACCATCACCACCATCATCATCAGCATCATCATCGGTGTCACTATCATGCTGATCAGTTCAATCATCATCAGCACCTGCATCAGCATTGAAGGCTTCATCATCATCACAATTGTCAACATCATCAGCATCATCCTCACCACCAGTATCAACACCATCACCATCACCATCATGTCCAGCAGCATTACCATCAGTGTCATCACCATCTCCATCAGCATCACCATCCTCATCAACAGCGTCATCATCATCACCACCACCATCACCAGCAGCATCAGCATCAGCATCATCATCATCATCATCAGCAGCATCATGGTCAGCATCATGATCATCATCATCATCATCATCATCATCTTTTCCTCTCCCCCATGCTGCCCTCGATGCTTCTCCTCCTCCCCTCCCATGGTCGCTCCTCTCTCGTGCTGCCGAGCTTCTCCTTCCCCTCCTCTTCCTCCTCCTCGTCCTCCTTGCTCCCCCTGCTTGCCTTGCCCTTGGTCAAGTGTGGACGTCTGAGAGTTGCTCCTGGCCAGCACCCTTCGTCCTCCTTCTGGCCTTCTCGCCCCCGGCCTCGCCCCCTCCCCGATCTCGCCCTCATCCGCAGTCCTCCCTCCACGTCCTCGCCCTTTTCCCCCTCCGTGCGCGGGCCAAAACTTCCCCGGGAGCCCCCGCGACCTCGCGAGCACCCCTCTGCGAGGCCCAGGGGGGCAGTGGCCAGGGGCAGGCCTCTCAGCTGCGGCGTGCTCTTGAGATCGAGTTTCTCCTCCTCCGCCTCCTCCTCCTCCTCCTCCTCCTCCCTCCTAGGTCCTAGGTGCACTCTGCCTCCTCCACCTTCCTGCTCTGCCTCCTGTCTCTTCCTCTCCTCCCTTCTCCCTCCATCTCCCTCTTCATCCAGACGTCACCGTTGCACTGGCGCTGCGGCAAGATCCCGCGGCCCCATCCGCTCTGGCCTCGCTTGAAGAGTTGCTCAAGAGCCCCCGGTTGTAGAGGCTCGCCCGGCGCAGGCCGATCTTCTCCCTCTGGATGCGCCCGCGGCCGCCCAAAGTGCAGGCCCGACTGGGCACGAGCGGGTGCCGTGACCGACAATGGGCACCTGCGCAGTGCCACGCGATCGGAGAGAGGCGAAGCGACACCACCAACACCACCAGTGGAGGCAAGACCACCCCGACCCCCATCACATGCGCTTGCTATGCAGTCCTGGGCGTTCATACAAGCAGCCCGCCCCCCTCTGCTCGATTCCTTTCTGAGGCGCGTTTGGCAAAGGGTTCGCTTGCCTGGGTGCTTCTTATGAGGGTGTTTTCTCGGCCATCGAATCTGGGAGCCACCTCCGGCAAGCAGGTCCACGATGACTTCCCGAGCTGGACGCTGGAGTTGGATTCAGCGTCGCAGGGGTGCCACACAACCGGGAGGGCCCTCCCTGGCTCGCCGCGGCGGTGCTGGTGGTGCCGATCTTTGTTTTTGCGCATTCCGTCTCGCTGTATCTGGATCGCCGCAGGGGGTGCTAAGGGGATGCGGGGGCTAGAACTTGATGCGAAGGTCGTATATATACATAGATATACACATGTGTATATATTTATATATGTATGTATATGTCCGAACCTAGCTTATAAGTGGGTGGCAAAAGCTCCAAGTGGCTGAAGGGCGTACAGATCCGGGCAACGTGGGCGGGGCTCGCTCAGCGGATGTATTTCTCATCGCCCTAAGCCTCCGAGGGCACCTGCAATTTGCTCATTTATAACCTGGGATGGGCCAGATTGCTGCCTCCATGACATCCACTTCCAACCACCACATCCCCTCAGAACCCCCGCCGCGATGTCCAAGTAGTGGAGAGCTTTTCCCTCGGCGCGGGGGCCCCCCCCCCCCCCCCCCAGCGCTCTCTCTCCTCCCTGCTCCTCCTCCGTGCTCCTCCTGCTCCTCCTCCTCCTCCTCCCTCCCTCCTCCTCCCTCCTCCTCCTCTTCCTCCTCCTCCTCCTCCTCCTCCTCCTCCTCCTCCCTCTTCCTCCTCCTCCTCCTCCTCCTCCTCCTCCTCCTCCTCCTTCTCCTCCTCCTCCCCTTTTGGCCCCCTGCCCCGCCCTGCCTTCTTCTGCGGGGGCGCGCGAGGCCCGGTGGCTCGAGAGCGGCCCCCCCCACGGAGGCAGGACAAAAGAAACGCCAGGCCTGTCCGTGTGTCCCTGCCTTCATCTCCCTCCATCTCAGCTTCCGCCATCTTCTCCCTCCTGCCTCCTCCTCCCTGGGCTGTGCCGCTCATTCTCGGGGGCCCCCCCCCCCGGCTGACGAGGTCGGGCACCGTGCTTCCGAGGAGAGCCGAACCGAACCTCCTCCTCCCCCTCGTCCTCGAGGAGGGAGGGCGAGAGGGGTCTGGGCCCAGGGCGATCACCAGCGCGGCCCCGTGGCCAATCGAAGGTTCGGGTCCACGCCCACGCCACTGTGCCCATCGCAGGGAAGTGCTGTCGCCGCGTGGCCTGCGAGCGACGCACCAGAAGTCGGGCGCTCCTCTTCCCCCTCCTCCTCCTCCTCCTCCTGCGCCTGCTCCTCCTCCTCCTCCGCCTCCTCCTCCTCCTCCTCCTCCTCCTCCTCCTCCCCATCCTCCTCCTCCTCCTCCTCCTCCTCCTCCTCCTCCTCCTCCTCCTCCTCCTCCTCCCAGGGGCTGCGCGTGTGCGCGCGCGTGTACGCCACCCGCGTGGCGCACATGAGGGCGAAGCTAAAACGAGGACAACATCGGGTAGGGATGAATCGAGAGTCTCTGAGATCTGGCGGATTCGGGGGACGTCTCGGGCTTGTGGGGAGCTCGTCTGATGCCGATCAGAAGCTCCCCCGAGCCTTTTTCAGAATATCCTCAGCGGCTTTGCCGCGATTCTTCAGGACACACGAATTCTGCTCGGTTGCGATCAGAGCGTCGCGGGTGGATGCAATCGGTGTCGCGTAATTCGGACACAAAGTGAAGTAGTCCTAATCCGATAGGTGCAACTGTTATCGTATCCCGTCTGAGCACCCTACAGTGGTTCTAACTGGGCCTCGCGATCCCACAATTACAACCAAAGGCGCGACATACATATGCAAGCCAGGTCCCGCGTTGTCTATACAGAAACGTACCGTGGTTGCCCGGGCGAGGTCATCGAGAAGGGTAGCGCCGTGCACTGCGTGTCCGCCTATGAGGGCGACATTGTTGTGATGGGATCAGACGGTGTGTTCGACAACTTGTTCCTGGATGAGGCGCCTGGGATGAGAGGTTGATGCAGGGGAGGATGGGCGAAGAAGGATCAGGAGGCAGAGGACACAGTAGTGGGCACAGGCTAGAGTGATATGTGGAAGGCGCGCGTGCGCAACACGTGCACTCTTCTTTGCTGCTTGGCGCACGTTCCAGCAGGGGTGCTGCACAAGCCCGCCGGCTGCGGTGTGGAGAAGGATGAGTGGGAGGTAGGTCGAGAGTCAGGAGCGAAAGAACACACAGACACAATGAATCGTCGATTCCCCAGAAAATATGGGAAGTGGGGGGGGGAGACAAAAATCATGTTATTTGTGTAGATTTAGTTGTGTGTCCTGGGGCCCCTTCCGAGAGTGGGTTTGATGGGGGGTCCCCGACCTCGCGCTGTTCGTGCTTCGCATGTCCGGGAGGCTGCAGGCCTGGGAGCTGAGCCGGGAAGCTGCGCGTGCCAGCCTCGGTGCGTTTTGAGGCTGGAGCCTCCCTTGTTCCTCGCACGGGGAGAGATCAGCAGACCAAGAGCAGCGTGGCACGATCAGCTCGGGCACTGCGCTGCATCGAATGTCGCACACGAAATTCCAATCTGAGAGCATCCGCTCGTTGGCTGGATGGCAGTAGCTCGTCTTCACTGGATTTGTGAGTGGTGGCTCGGGGTCTGCTCGCCGTGGTGATGCTGTTGTGCGGCGTGTGGTCGTGAGCTCATGGAGCAAGGCCTTCTTGGTCGCGTGTTGCTGCTGCCCTTGCATCCTGCCCATCTGGCACTAGCCTTGTCCAGGCAGGGAGGCTGCGCACGTTGTTCTGTTCGGTGTTCCCTACATCGTGGCTCCGCCGCAGTTTCAGTGCGTCCTGCGGGTGACAAGTTTAGATTGTGTATTGGCCCACGTGTCTCCCGAGCGGTCAACATATGGTCTTGATACCATGATGCTATGTGGCCTTGGTGGGTTCATCTCACTGGGAGCAGTGTGCCAGCACCATCTGTTGTCGCGTCTTTGCTCGGCACACGTCGGCTCTTTCCCAGGCTCTGCCAAATCATGACCGCAATACGGTATGATTGTCATGATTTGGTTCGCGCACGGGGGCATGTATGATCCAGCCGTGTCCCCACGTCCATCGCCGATCCACTATGTGCCGTGATGGTTCCTCGCACAGGCGACAGCCGCCCGCCGTCGCACGGCCAGGATTCCAAACGCTTGCCTGTTGCAGTAGTAGCCGGACCTGTCCCACTCGCATTGTAGATGCCCTTGTGACGCACCCTGGGCGATAATGGGCGTGACCAGGGGAGGAGGGGGGGAGGGGAGGGAGTGGGCCGCTCACGTCAGGATTCGCACGGGCGATGCCGCGAACAATAGTCGGGGGTGGACAGAACCCCCAACAGTGACACGTCGATTGGTGAATTGTCCGTTTTCGGTTCTCGAGAGGGCGCCGTGGCCCTTATTTTCCAGGCTTGCGCCCTCCAGGTTTGGGCCTCAGGTCGTCTTCACTAAACCACGTTTTCTCTTGGCCCCGCTCGGAGACCCGCATCGCCAAGAATCGCAAGCGGAGCTCCAGATCGCACCTTCCCCCGCCATCTTCTCGAGCCAGGTCGATCTGTCAGGGCCCTGGGGCGCCCGACCCTGGGCGAGGCCGCTCGCCTGCGGGCAAGATCCGTGTCCATATCCAGTGCCTCTTGGACTTTTTTTGACAGCGGCGCCACAAGGCCGAGGCGCACTGGGTATGGATAAAAATCGAGCCTCTAGGGGGCAAATTTATCCATATCCGGTGTGCCTCGGGTTTCTCAGGAAGGGAGCCCGAAACTCCATACTGCAGTGGACGTGGACAGAAGTATTGCCCGCATCGCTGTGGAAAGCAGGCGGCACCGGCATCTCGTGGGGACCCCTGACCCCGCTCGGAGCCGCAGCCTCCGACGCCTCCGCGGACGGGGACGGCGGAGCACCCAGACCCCCGACGTCACGAGTTGCTCATGACTTCGACCCCGGCGGTCTCGGCCCCGTCCCCAGGACCGGTTCGGCATCCCGAGTCATCTTGTTGACGGTCCCGCGGCCCGGCGAGGGGTCCCCGGGAGGCCGAAAGCAGCGGAACATTGTCCGCTGTGTTCTTTTGCTCATGACCCGAGGGAGGCAATGTCGTGCGAGCGTGAGTTTGCCCGAGTCGAAAGAAACGCGCCCTCATGCCGACCCGCCTGTTCCTCCTCGATCCGCATTGCCGATGCATCGCCGATGCATGGCCGATGCGGCTCGATGTGAGCGTGTCTTCCTCCACCTCGACGTCGCGGATGCATCGCCGGTGCATCACCGATACATCGGCGGTCGCCGTATGAAGACGTTTTTCTGTCGCGGAGTCGGCAGCGAAATCCGAACCCGACCCTCACTAATCAACGATTCAGGCAACTCGATGGGCGGCCGGGGTAGGGTCCGAAATTCGTCGAAGGCGTGGCGAGATCAGGAACCTACCTCCACATCCCATCGATTCCAGAGTATCGATGGAAGTCGCAACCAAATGCCGGACGGGGCTAGGACGAAGATAAGTCCGTTCCAGAGTGTTCCTGGAAGATCTCAGAGCGTACCGGAAACGCTCTGAGAGAAGGTCGCGTCGCCCGATATATTTCCTCCAGAGCCGCCGGATCTCAGATCTTTATTCTCACCTGGACTTGTCCTCGTCCTGGTTTTGTCTTACGTGGATCGCGGCGGTGGTTGCTAAGGGAATGGGGCGGGCGGGGTCGGATGGGCGGGTGGGGTCGGAAGGGCGGGCGGGTTCACTCGCCTCTCTCGCTTTGCGGCGAACCTCGGCTTGCAGTACGGACTCTTTCGATGTCCGTTCATGGGAGCCTCGAGCGGCGACAGCGGAATTCGCACCCTGCGCTTGAACCGCATGTGGACCGTCTGTGGTTATTCCTCCTGCTCCTCCTCGCTCTTCCTGTCGCTCCTCCCCCTCCTCGCTCTTCTCGTCTCCAGTATGATCCGTAGCGTTTAACCGATCCCCATCCCCACCATCCCTTTCGAACCCCCCACCAGATTACCACCCCCAGTTGGGGAAACACCCTTCGAAACCTGAAGGGAACGGCCTGTATCCCCATCTAGGGGGGCAAATCGGCCAGTGGGGCCCATATCCGGGCCCATATGTGTTCCAGTTCCGGTCCAAGCGAGGCCCAAGTCGGACAGCGCCGGGGGCCACCTAGTCTCCCACGGAACGGACACCAAGCACCGTGGCGTTGTCGCGGCCGACCGACCTCCTCCCCCCTCCCCTGCGCGAGGTTGCGGAACTCTGCAACGCGGTGCTGCAGCCAGGACGTCAAGGAGGGGAGCTCCAACCAAACGATGCGCGCGGAGGAGGAGTAGACGGAGGAGGATGAGGAGGAGAAGGAGGGGAGGAGGAAGAATACAGTTCTTTCCCTGTTCATGTTGTGTGCCCAATGGGCTATGATGGTGGTGCCAACACCTTCTCGCGCGGCGGCATGGTGTGTGGCGTGTGTGGTTGCCGTAAGAACCCTGGTTACTTCAAGTGGTGCTATCACTGTGGTTCCACCCTCTCTCATGTGCAGCCTGCCAAAGGTACTAAGACCCAGGGAGTTGGGTCCACGGAGCCCACCCCTGGAAAAGGCCGAGGTCGCTCGAAAGGTACCTCCAAAGGTTCCGGCAAGGGCAATCCCAAAGGCAAAGGTTGGAGCTATGGGCACGGACCAAGTCGGGAACGTGATGGCACGAACAGCACGAATTACGAACTGGGTGTGGCCGACGCACTCAACCAACTCATCGCAGGTGATGGCTCTAAGTCTGATCAGTTGGGAGAGGATGATGTGGGCATCCCCTGAGGAGGGGATGGGGGAAGAGCAGTGTCCCTAACTGTCCGAACTGGAAAAAAGGGATTGCGGGGCAGGGTAAAGCTCGGAGGGGGATGGGGGAGGGTAGGAGTGCAGGAGGAAGGACATGTGCAGGAGGAAGGATATGGAGTCTTAGTGATTCAAGCGTCAAGCTGCAACAAGCCGGCCCCAGGGAAGTGACTCAGACCCCGCAGTCCACGCTGCGAAATGGCCACAACGTCAGGGGTCTGGAAGGCAGGGGGCAAGCGGGTCATGGGAGCGTTTTTGGGCGCCTGTTGGGTGTGTTTCTCGGGCACCAGAGGGGGGATGATGCAGGGGGAGGTCGAACGTGGCAAGCATAAAAAATCTTCGCCGAGGGTTCCCCCCAAGCCGCCAGAAGCCGGCGCGGCGAATACCCACCGCCTTTATATAACACCTCTTCGAATCGGAATCGTTCCGTTCAGTCTCAGCTGTTTATTGCTTTCATTCTGGGACAACTTCAGTGCCCCGATCGTCTCTCTCTCGCTCTCTCTGCCTCTCTGTCTCTCTCTCTCTCTTTCTCTCTCTCTCTCTCTCTATCTCTGTCTCTCTCCCTTTTTCGCTCTCTCAGATGTAAGGCTTGCTGTGCCAGTTTAGCGCCCCGCTACATGGTAGACACGCCAGGAGGTGCCCCATGACTGACACGCCTGGCCGTTGCCGACCCGCAGTCAACATCTCAGCGCTGTTGGTTACGCTGGGGGGGGGAGCTGTCTCCCCATCTTCATCCACCGCCTTCTCATCATTCTTACACCTCCTCCCTCCTCCCTCCTCCTCCTCCTGAGGACCCTCGTGGTCAGACGAGAGATGCTGCCAGGGCATGGGAATGGGTGACAGGACCGGTGCCCGAGGGCACTCTGGAGCAGCTCGCGAGGCAGATCGTGGAGGCATGCTCACCTCTCCCCCTGGCCAGCTCCCCCGGCGCCGTCCGCTGACCCAGACCCCCGTCGCCGTTTTTTTTTCACGACGTCGATCCCCAGAGGTCTGGACCCCCTCCGCAGGACCGTGTTCTCATCCCGAGTCGCTGTGTGACGGTCCCCGAGGCCCGGGAAGGGCCCCCCGAGGGGCGAAAGCAGGGAGAAACCTCCCGTCGGCATGTTCACACAACGCGAGGGGGTCCGGGAACATCGTCCTTGCTTCCCTTCCGCCGCCGCCTTCGCCACGCTCGTTGCTCTCCGCTGGCTTCTCTCTCTGCGGTCCTCCTCCCTCGCCCCGCCCTGAGGCTGTGTCAAGGTCTGGCCGACACAATCGAAACTCCGTCATGAGGAACCTGAATCAGAAACGAGGCCCCTTATTCCATAAGATAAATTTCGGCTTCCCAGAAAAAACCTGCGGATAATCTATACCAGAAATGTAACACAATGGAGGAATACCGAGCCCCTCCACAACCGAAAGGTTCCTTCTTCAACAGCCCGAGTGCAACGGCCGTGATCCGCCCTCTCCCCCCCCGCATCACGTCGCGCTGTGTTGCCCACATCTGCGCAGATGTCCTACGGATTCTTGGAGGATTTCCGCGGATTTCTGGCCGCCCCTCGCCGTGATGTGATACAGACATTCATAACATACATGCGTGCACGCATACAGACATACATACACACATACATACATACATACATACATACATACATACATACATACATACATACATACATGCATACACACATACATACATACATACATACATACATACATACATACATACATACATACATACATACATACACATATACATACATGCATACATACATACATGCATGCATACATACATACATACATCTATACATACATACATACATACATACATGCATACATACATACATATACACATACACATATACACACATACACCTATACATACATACATACATACATACATACATACATACATACCATACATGTGTATGTATACAAACATGCATGCATACATACATGCATGCATGCATGCATACATATACGTACACCTGTATGCAGACATACACAAACCGATCCATATACATATATACATACGTTCATACACACATACACACATACCTGCATACCTACATACATACATACATGCATGCATGCATGTATGCATGCATGCATCCATACATACATACATACATGCATGCATGCATGTATGCATGCATACACGCACCCATGCATGCATCCATACGTACATACATACACACAGCTTTACATGCATGCATGACTGCATACGTACACATGCAACTATATCTATGTGCATACCTACATGCATGCATATACAATTACATGCCAGCATGCATACATACACATACATACACACCTGTATGCATACATACATACAAGCAAACATATACGTTTACATACATGCAACCCTACGCACATGCAACATGTGTATGGTCTTATGTGCACATTGACGTATTTACACACATTTACACATATATATATATGTATGTACGTACCGGACCTATGTTCTGTACATGCATGCATATATATATATATATATATACATATATATGTGTGTCTTTGTCCAGTCATCGATCTTTATATGTGTATATGTGTATATATATATATATATATATATGTGTGTGTATCTATCTGCCGCCGCCCTCGGGCCCTCGGGGCTCCCTCCACCGGCACCAGAGGCGTCGGACAACGACTCGGGATGACGATGCCGCCCCGGGGGAAGGCCCCGGGGAAGGCCCCGGGCGAAGGCCCCAGGGCCCGCTCCCCCCACGCTGAGATGCCACTCGATGCGGTACACGTCGGTCGTTGAAAGTAGGTATTTTTGGATTCCCAGGTCCCAATCTTCTCCAAGCGCCTTCCTACTTCAAGAACCAGCATGCCTTTGCTCTGTGTTGTTGTTATCTTGGAGGACCTGGACCCAGTCTACTATATCCCCCTTCCTACTTCATGCTGCTACCTTCTGCTTCCGACCGACGTATATGCTTCAATGACATCGGCCGTGGCCAGCCAGAGCCAGGCGCGGCGGTTTGATTTCGATTCGGTTCGGGGAGGTGCGCAGGCGATGCGACCCACTTCCGATCCGAGCTGATGCCGCGATCCGATCCGGGCTCGAGCTTGCCAGAGGCAGCACGGAGCCCACAGGAGGGCCAGGTCGGGGCCGCACACGAGCGCCACCGCATGGGCCGCGCGGGCGCGTCGGGAGTCTGCCGGCCTCTCCTGCCCGCGCCCGCCCGTCTTCGTCTACCCGGCCTCCAGAAGGGCCCGCCCGTCCGACGGCGCCTGCCGCGGCGCGCCGCTCCGCCTCGCCGGCGGGCGCCTCCTTCAGGCGAGGCCTCGCCGCCGCCCGTTCGGCGCAGTCTGCCCTCGACGGAAGGCCAGCGGAAGCTGGCGGAAGTACAGTCGACCAGCATGGCACGGCTGGGCAACCTTCTCAAGGGCACCCTTGCATCCTCGCCTCCTCGACCCAGCCTTGGCCACTGTCGTGGGCCGCGCCCCGCTCGAAAAGCTTCGAGATGGGCGTCCGAGGCCCTTGCATCCCTTTCGCGCATCCTTCTGATACGGGGCGACTGTACCCATACCTGCAGCTGCCTTGATACGCCCGTTTTGAAATGCAGCACGTAACGTGTTCAAAACGTCAGTGTTCACACGTTCCTTGTTGGCTCAACGTAGTGGCCCACGTGTTGGCGAACGTGTCGCTGCAGATCTACGTTGTCAGCCCACGTGCCGCTGCAGATCCACGTGTTGCGTGTTGCACCGCGGGCCGCTCCGGCTGCTCATGGCGGAAGTCTTCCGCCTCTGAGTGCTCGCCTTCCTCCCCCCCCCCGCGGCCGCCCCGTCCTCCTCTCCCCCTCGTGCACGCTGGCCAACAACTCGCTTTGCAGTGCCCTTGCATCGCTCCCACGCGGGAGCGGATTGCCACGCCTCGCCGCCGACGGAACAAAAAGTTGCGTGTGGCGTCCTTTCCGCGCATCCTTCTGGTACCGGCTGGCTGTATAGAGCGGCGGCCAGCGCGCCCCGGCGGGAAGTATTGGCGGGAGGCTGGCGGCAGGCCACAGCTTTCGGGTTCAGGTTACGTCGGGCCTGTCCCTCTACATGAGGAGAGTTCGAAAATAGTCACAAAATTCTCTGGGGACGGTTTTCCTAGCATGTTTGACTATTTCGGTGTATTTTGGGGATTTTTCTTCCGCCCAAGATCCGCCTGTAGGAAGACACGCCCGACCGAAGGTTCAGGGTTCAGGGCTTCTCGAGCGGGCCAAGCGGTGCGATCCGCAGGCAAGGCGCGCGCCTGCCCAGGGGTACCCCGTGGCCGTGCGGGACGGCGCACGGCGTGACCCCAGGTGCGGGTCTGCAGCGCCGCTCCATGCCGCGACCCTCGTGCTTCCCGGCCTGGCTGTCTCTCTCTCTCTCTCTCTCTCTCTCTCCCTCTCCATCTCTCTCTCCCTCTCTCCCCCTCCCTTTCTCTCTCTCTCTCTCCCCCTCCCTTTCTCCCCCTCCCTTTCTCCCTCTCTCTCTTTCTCTCTCCTTCTCTCTCCCCCTCCATTTCTCTCTCTCGCCTGCTCTCCTTCGCGCTCTTCTCTCGCCCCTCCCGCCCCTGTCATGTCGCCCTCCTCCCCTAAGTGGCCCGGTTTCCTTCCTCAGATGGCCGGGCCCAGCGTGGCCCGCAGGCCCAAGCCGGGCCGGCCGCGCGCCAGAGCAGCGATCGCCCGTCGCGACCTTCTCGCGAGGCTCGAGCCTCGAGTCTCTCGCTGGGTCTGGGAGTCAAGACTGCCAGTTTGAGACATATCCCTATCCCTGTGTTTGGCGTCACCTCATCTCGATGCCGATCTTCAGGACCCCCTCAGTTTCTGCGGCTACGTCCCTGAAGTTGTCCTCGCGTTTTGCTCGCCCATCTTGGGGATAGGGATAAGTTCAAAGCTGGGTCCGCCCCTCGGTGTCCCAGGTAATTCATCACGCTGCATGGTCTCCCTCCTCCTCATCCTTGTCCTTCTCCGCCTCCTCCTCCTTCTCCTCAGTCCTCCTCCTTTTTCTTTGTCTTTTCCAGCAAAACGGTGCGCGATGTTGACAAATACTAGCGTTTCCGCTTTCCTCTTGACTCCCATTCGTCCTCATTGTCCTTCTCTTCCTCACCCTCGTCCTCGCGGTAACGCTGTACGACGTTGCTGCACATGCTAATGTTCCGCGCGCAGGGCTCGCCTATTTCAGGTTGGTCTTCGCGTGACTCTGGGCTTGCTCGATGCAGCCCGAGGATGCATCGTTCCCAGGGGGCCTATTCCTGCTTCCACATCTGCCAGCACTGGACCGCCGCTGCTGCTGAGAGCTGTGAGAAGACGACTGATTGACTCCAGAAGAGAAAAACACCTTCGACGCGTGCTGGGGCGCGTTCCCGTCAGAATGTCGGGGCGGGTCGGCCAGGGTGACGACAGGGCCCTCGGAGGCCCAAGAAGACTGGAAATGACAGTGGAAACCCATGCCAAGAAACACCCTGCTTGCCTCCAGGGTGCCCTGGGTTTCTTGGGTTTCAATGGTTTTGCTATGGAGAGCGTGGCGCTCCCAAACCAAATTCAATGGACGTCCTAGCGTCTCAGGGTTAGGTTTCTTGTGGTCGAGCTCCTACTGGAGTCAAACACCTCGAGGGCTGATCTTTCCTAGTCCTCTATCATGTCCAGGCAGGTCCAGGCGTGTTGCGACGAGGGCCCCCCCCCCCGCGGAAGGCCCAGAGAGGGCTAAAGACGACCAGAGGACCTCGATCCTCGAAGATCGAGCCCCGAGATCCGACGCTGCGAACAGAGAACAGCATCGGGACGACAGATTCCGACACGAGTCCTAGACTATGCGAGCCTGCTCGGATCGCGCCGCATCGTCGATGCATCGCCGAGGCACCGGCGATGCGGCGCGATCCTCCGACCCCACCCACTCCGACCCCATCTGGGAGGCCTCTAGGTCCTCGGAGCCCCTCCATGCCCGGACCGTCCGCGTCTGCCTCCAACTCCTCCTCCCCCCCCCGCAGGGCTATCGTGCCCGCGCGCCCGAGGCCCCGCCGTGTGCCCCCCCCCCCCCCCCTCACCCCCCTTGCCGCGCAGGCCTGCCACGCGAAGACCCATCCGAACGTGCTGGGCGCCTACCCCGAAGCGCCCATCGGGCGCGGCGGCAAGGCGGCGCCCATCGGAAGACCTCCTCCTCGTCCTCCTCCTCCTGCTCCTCCTACTCCTCGTTCTCCTACTTCTCCTCTTCCTCCTCCTCCTCCTACTACTCCTCGTTCTCCTCCTACTCCTCCTCTTCCTACTCCTCCTCCTCCTCCTCCTCCTACTCCTCGTTCTCCTCCTCCTCCGCGCCCATCGGAAGAGTTCTGTGTCAAATCATGGGAGCCTTCAGTACCCTCAATCATGGGAGCCTTGAGCGTGACGTTCCCGCACCAAAAGTCCATGGGCTTCCTGGTGTCTCAGGGCTGGGTTTCTTGTGGAAGGCTTCTTGTGTCATGGCCTCCACCGCAAAAACAGCTCCTGGCCCGCCTCTCGCACTCCCTGCGTGCCATCTTGAGGAGGTGGTCATGGTGGCCAGCTTGAGGAGGCGTCTGGCTGCCATCGTCCCTGAATGGATCGCCTTTCGGATCGAGGCCACGTTACTTTATCTCGGCATGTGGATTGGCCCAGCCACGTCGGAAGCGTGCTCTTGGCTTGCACCGCGGGACGAATATGGGGCACGGGTGACTGCGCTGGCCTCCTCTGCTGCACCTGCACCTCTCAACGCGATGCACTATGTGGCACGTGCTCTGCCAACGATGAGCTACGCTGCACAGTTCCAGCCGCTACCCAAACAGTTACTTCAGCAGGATATGCATGTCCTGGTTCGCCTTCTTCGTCTACCTGGTCGCGCCCTCTGGGACAATGGGGGGGAACCTAAACTTCGTGCTCTTGGAGCTTCTTGCGAGGCGACGCTGATACGGTCTGGACTCTCCGCTCATCCTGAACATGCTGGGTATTTCGCTCGGCTTCGGTGTGCAGCTGAGCGCTGGGCGCACCATCGCGTCTTGGCTGATCTCTGTGGCCAGCTCCCTCCCCGCTTTTGGGTCCTGCCATCGTTTGTGGAACGGGTAGCACAAGCAGCAAAAAGCAACGCATCTGCGGGAGCACTCGCTGCGCGTGGTCTCGTCATGAGACGCCCAGAGGCACGACGCTTGATTCAGAAGACAGCGCACTCGGCCGCTATGCAGAGCATGATGCTACCCACTGCCAAAGGAAGCGACTCGCCGTTGGCTGACACAATCATCAAGCGGTGGTCGACTTGGTTCCCGCAAAAAGCTGCTGAACTCGCTGATTTCGAGTGGAGCGTCCTAAAAGATAAGCTGCTGGCCTACCCTACAGCATGGCTGGCTTACGGCAGCGCGTATCTCCTCGCCGACTGGCGTCCGCCCTTGTATATTCGGTTGCGAAGGTTGTCGTGACGAGATCAGTCACTACTGGGAATGCCGTGGTCTGGCTTGGAGCATCGATATGGCCAAGACCGGAGGCTGCATCTCCCTTCCTGGGGATGTCTTGGGCCGCGGGGGGCTTGCGTGGAGGCTGCGACGACGACCGAATGAACCTACAGCTAGTCACCATCATCTACCACGACGTGCTCCACTCTGACTTTGTCGACCCCGATCGCCTTCTCCATGCTGCTCCAGGGGCGATCCGCGCGAGGACCCTGGAGAGTCCGACGACGGGACGGGCTCGACTGCTTCGCAGGCCCATTGTGTCGCCTCGTCCATGGGTACCCTTCCATCAAGAAGAGCGCCCACATCCCTCGCGTCCACTTCCTGAAGGCCAACGTTCGCTTCACAACCTCCTTCCTCACCGTGTTCGGTTTTCGCATGCCTGTGGCGAATGCAGATTTGCCATCCCTATGCCAGAAGGAATTGGGGGGAACGGTGGGCACGCAATTGGCTTGGCTCCATGGTCTTTGCAAGCAACGGCCTGTCCGACTTTGAAGGCCGGACGAAATAGACGACGGACTTTCTAACGACCGTGCTCCGCTACAAGTGCTTCTTGGGTCTCTTTCATGACGAGGCGCCGTCTCTGGAGTGCCGCGCAGTCTTCGCTTCTGGTATTGCCCACGCTGAATGGCGCAGTTCTGCGCGAGGCCGTAGTGTACTTCTTCGACACATGGCTGAACTTCGGCCTCGCTGCAAGGGAGCAAGGGAGCAAAGGGGCGAGGGCGCGATCTGCTCGCCATTCGCGGGTGGGGGCACCACGCCTCGGCTTTTCTCAAGGTCGCTAGGGAGGTGATCGAGGATATTGCCCTTCTGCAGCAGGAAGCTTGCCGTTTACTCCCTCTTCTGGAAGTTTCTTGTCAAGACGGGCTGGATGACCTGGATCTTCGAGCGGAAGAGCTTGCGGGGCTACTGCGCGACAGCGACTGCAGCGAGCCGACCGACAACCTCCCGACGCTGGTTCCTCCACGAAGTGCGCCAAGCTCCACTGTGGGCGCCGCGGCCGACCTGCCGCACAGGCACCGCCCCCGCTACGCTGTGTCGGTGGATCGCATTGGTATCTGGGCACAGAACTGGATCCCAACTCTGGTTCTTTCCAGCAGCGGGAGCGACTTCCAACAATGGATGGAGTGGTGCGTGCCATATGTCGCCGACGCATTACGTGTTGATGGCTTCAGAGATCTTCTCCAGTGCGCGGCTAACGCAATATCGGACAGTACTAAGTGATGGGACATGGCTATCGAACTTGGCATGCATGGCTGGTACTCGGGGGCGATCCCGCGGGAACGTTTGCGACGGCAAGTTCAGCATCAATGTATTTTACGCGAGCGCCGTCGACTCGCATTGCTGAGACGAAAAGGGATGGCACTGCTGTGTCACATGGACTGGCGCCCGAACATCTCGAGAATGCCTGTTGAAGAGCATGCTGACATGTTGCAGGACCAGAAGTCTCCCTACCATGCGCCTCCCAAGGCTATCCATCCGCATCTCCACCTTCTTCCCCATCTGCATTCCCAAGCGCAGCCCGAGCACAGCGCGGATCAGGGGCCCTACCTTGACGAAGACGACGGGAGCAGTGGGGAGACCTTTACCCAAACCCTACTCATAGCGACATCGAGCGCATGGTGGAAGCGACAGGTGCAGTTGCGGCTTCATCGACAGCTGCCACGGCACCGCCATTATTTGAAGACGATGCGATGGGCCTTGCTGAATACTCGCACCATGTTGGGCTCATTCGGACCGACGAGGAATTCGAAGCGCAAGTACAGATCGCGCGGCAACGTTCTCAGGAGCTCCAGCAATGCGATATTGGGAATGCTACGGCCGCCTCTTCCTCGGCCCCACCTGCGGCACCTTCGCACCCTGCTGTGGGAGATATTCCTGAGGAAAATACATCCAGCAGCTCGGAGGATCTGTTCAACCGTACAATGGCGGCAAACGGCTTCGGTGCGATATACCGCGATTGGATTCTGGGCGGTGCGCATCAAGGTGGTCAGGCGACGTCTTCGGCGGCAGGTCACTATGCAGCCGCGCGCGCCAGCGCAAGGCAGACTCCGCATGGAACGGATGATGTAGACATGCATAGCGGTGACGCTGCAAGTCGTGGACAAAAGGCGTGCAGACACTGAACACGCCAAGCCTTCAATCAACTTCGGGCGCTACAGTTGGTTAGCATACTCATCAAGTCCGCAGTCACCGGCGCACGCATTGGGGAGCGTATGATGGATGGGTGCACGAACGTTCTAATGCCGTCGCAGTTGATCGCGGCCACGCAAAATTTGGACGCACGCTGCGTTCTTCCGGACGACCAACGAGAGCTAGTTCGGCGGCTGCTGCGACACCCTGAACCTCTTTCGGCAGTGAAGAGCGAATATGGATCGGCGCCCCGTACTGGCGTTGAAACCGAGCTTGCCTTTCGGGGGGATGAAGGTGTGATCTTCGATGAACTTGTTGGAGACGCTGATGGCGTGACTGGGACTGCGCTGAACACCTCAGCGGGATTGGCCGCCGAGGCAGCGAATGACTCCGAGGACGATGACGAGCTCACCCAAACGCTGGCCTCAATTATGGCATCTGGCGTGGGCACTTCGGTGCGTCATGGTAATGATAGTCTTGGGGCCGTGGATACTGGCATCATCTCAGACATGTGCACCTCTCCTGCGGACGCGGCACCTGCTGGAGGACCTGGGCTGGCAGATCAATTTCTTGGGGGTGGTCCTGGGGTCGCTCCTCTACCTGCCATCGACCGGGTTGCGGCTATCGACAGTGACGAGATGGACTCGCTTGGCCCCGCAGGAGTCGCGGGCCGCGGAGAGGACGGCGACAGCAGCGACTTCAACACTGTGGAGGGCGGCTACACAAGCTGCGCGGCCCTGGGGGGAGTGGCATCCGCCCCGACATCTTCGGCGCCTCCTGCGCCACCTGCGCCTCCTGTTGTGGGAGATCCACCTGGGGGAGATGTGCCAGGCAGGTCGGATGATCTGTTCAACCAAAGGATGGCGGCACACGGCCTTGCCGTGATATACCCTGATCGAATGTTGGATGCGATTCGTCAATCTAATACTGCTGCCTCTTCGAATGGAGATGCTCCTGCGTCTTCGTACGCGGTTGCAAAGCTGTCTTCTTCTGGTGAAAGTGGAGAGAGCTTGCCCAGTGGCGGCGCAGCGAGTTGTGGACAAGGAAGCACGGACGCAGAGAAACTCCGAGCCACCAATCAACTTCGTGCACTAAAAATGGTCAGCCTGTTCGTCAAGTCCGTGATCACTGCTTCCATACATGAGACACCTCAGCTGGGCGATGGCACGAGTGCGTTGGCTCCCTCGCAACTGCTCGCGGCCACTCTGTTTCTGGACCCACATTCTGCTCTTGCTGAAGACCAACGAGAGCTAGTACTGTGGATGCTGAACTATCCGGGTTTCTCTTGGAATTGAGTAGTGAATATGAAGCCGTTTGCCCTCCCAGCCTTGGGACAGACATCGCCAACCTTGACGATGATGACAGGAGACACTGATAGTGAGACTGGTACGGTGCTGAACATCACCGCGGAACTTGCTACTGAGACCGTGGACGATTCCGAGGAAGAGGACCAATTCACCAAATATCTGGCTGCAGCCATGGAGCCCAGCCTGGGCGGTACGGCAGGACTTGATATTGTTGGGCTGGAAGACGTGAGCGATGGCGTGAAGGTGGGGCAAATTCGCAGCAATGGATCATGTACTTTGCCCATTCCACCGTGTGGACTCGATGTGGAGGATACTGGAGATGCTCTTCTTCCTGACGGGGAGGCTGGTGATGATGGGGATGCAGGAGATTTGCGTCCTGGTCTCGTCGGTGGGGACGAGCACATGCCCGTTTTCAGTCATGATTTCATGATGGACTGCGACGGGCTGGACATCGACGGCATGGCCGTCGTCGCCGACTACGCGGTGGACGGCGACTTCAACGACTTCAAATCTGAGGAGGCGGCCGGCGCGGGAAGCGCGGCCGAGGCCTAGGCGCGGGTGGAGGGATGGTGCGGCACTCCAGCGGCGTGGGCTCCTCCTGCTCCCCCTCCTCCTCCTCGTTGCTCCTGCTTGGGCCCCTGTTGAAGGCCAGAGAGGGGAGACCGCAGCTATGCATCAGAAGCGTGGTGGATGACATAGCACTGCAGGCGTGTGGAAGGACTATTCAGGTCGCGTCGGTTCTCAGCTCGGGGGTCGAGTCGCTGCTCAGGGACTTCGATCGTCTTAACGTTCCTGTCGCGGTGAAAAAGACCAAGTATATCTGTAGTGCCGATGTGCAGGAGCTTCTCCAGGGGCAATGGCGTATCCCGCCTTCGTCGCGTGTGGACACAGCTCGAGATCTGGGAACGGATGCTGCGTCAGGTTCCGGTCGAAGAGTTGGGATAGCCAGAAGTAGGTTTGCGAATGCTAGCTCTCGAGCTCGTAGGCTTCAGATTTTACGCGACGCAGGGGCTGAGGTCGGCCTCATCCAAAGAGTCGGGGCCACCGCCGTGGCCCTGTGGGGGAGCAGTGTGATGGGTATCCCTCCGTCTGCGATGCACGGTATTCGAGTTTCGGCTGCTCGGAGTATCGGTCGCCTCCCCGAGGGCTGTAGTTTAGGCCTCAGGCTCCATTCGTTCAGGATGGGTTTGCTGTGTGATCCCTTGGTGGCCTACAAAGGGCACATGGTGTTTCAATGGGCCACGGCTGTTTGGGATAGTTTTCTTTCGAGGCTGATCCTGGGGGCGACGATGGAGGCGGCCATCGAAAAACTGGCGCGCTACCGTCACCCTTGGAGGGTTGCCTCGTCGCCAGCGGATGTTGCTTTCCTTTCCCTGGACAGGATCGGCTGGAGGTTTTTAACCAGCACCAGGCTCCGTGATGACTTAGGTTCGGTTTGGAACCTCAGCCAGCTCTCGCCCTGTGAGATCAGGGAACTGGTGCACGAAGGAGCTTCCAGAGCCTCCGACAGGCTTGCGTTGGAAAGCGTGGGGCGCCTTGGGGGCGAGGGCCCTCGAGGGCTCGATTGTGTTTTTTTGTTCCGATGTTTTTGGGCCGGCCTGGGGGCGCTCCTCAGGGGTAAAACCAAAATCTGGACGGCCCATCACCAGCGCGCGCTTCGCTCGCTTGTGTGCAATGTGCATTGGCCGCAGGCCAGAGTGTTTGGTCACGGGCTGCACAGTTCTGATGTCTGTCAACTTTGTAAGGAGGCTCGGGGGACGCTGTGGCACAGGCAGTGCGAATGTGTTGCGCACAGCAGCGTCAGAAGGGACGCAGTCTCCCCCTGGCTTGCTGCTCGCGCCCGCCGTGTCTTGGATTGTGGGGAGGACGTTGGGGGGCGGTTTGCGAAATGTGTGATGCCCAGCCCCTTGGCTTTCATTCCTCGAGAGGAGCCTGAGACCACGATCAGGTGGGTTAATAAGCCTGCCAGTGGTTTCCTCACGGGGTGCATCTTTAGTGACGGCTCGGCCTTGTGGCCCTCTCTTCCAGGGGTCTGCAGAGCTGGCTGGGCTCTCGTGCAGGTGGATCCTCTGGGAAACTTGCTGCGTGCTGCTTACGGCCCCGTGCCGCTCAGTTTCGGCCCTCGCCAAACGGCCAAAGACGGCGAGGATTTCGCGATTCACATGCTCACACAAGTGGGCATCGCTCCGTTTGATCTGTATCTGGATTGCAAGGCCACTCTAGATGTTTTGCTCGGAGGTCCAGCGTCAGGGGCTGAAGCGAGGTCCCCGAGGGGCCACATGCGGAGCCCGTTCTGGGCCGCCTTCGAGGGGTGTGACATCCAGGCCCGCAAGACTCTGGCCCACGCCACCAGTAAGGACATCGAAGCTGGTCGCACTACGGTCTGGGAGAAAAAGGCCAATTCGAGTGCTGATCAGCATGCCAAGCTAGGAGCAAGAATGCATGGAGCTGAGGACTCCCATGCTGAACTTCTTCGTGTTCTCAAGGCCCTTGTGGCCGAGCAGGGGAGGCGGGCGGGTAGGCTGGAGGTTTTGATGGCCACCAGCGGCCAGAGCAGGCAGGACACGGTCGGGCTGCAGCTGCGCGACCAGGAGCTGCCAGCGGAGTCCCCGCCCGACCCCGCCGAGGAGGAGGAGGAGGTCGTCTCGTCGTCGAGTGTCGTTGGAGCGGAGGAAGGAGTTGATCCGAGCTGGGCCGACGAGACCCGATATGCGTTCTACTTCAGACGGCACGCGCTCGTCCGATGCTCGATAGAGACGCCTTCGAAAGTAGGCGACAAAGTGGTTTTCTGTTTTCGGTGTGGGGGCTATACCTCGGGGCGTCTGGGCCATGCCCTCCTGGAGCGTTGTCTCGGGAAGCCTGCTAGCCCAGGGATCAGGTCCCAGCTGAATCGCATCCGATCGGGAAAGCACCCACACTACCGTGCCACCACGAAATCCCTCGTGCTCGGTCCTTCTGGCCCGTTGAGCTCGCAGGAACAGGTCGAGATCGAGGGATTAGTGGATTCGTGTGAAGCAGCGGCGGCGAGCTCGGGCTCGGCTGCGGCTGAAGGCTTCTGGCCAGGACTGCCCTCGCAAGCATCTGTCCTTGCGGCCTTTTGGATTCTGGGGTTAGAGCTGCCGAGGGTGAAGGAACTCGGGCAGCGTCGGGCCGTGGACGGTTCAGACAACGATTCTGAAGCCTCTGACGGCGAGCTCTTCTGACTTTGTACCCGCCTTCATGGCCGTCAACCACCACCACTCCCTTTCCTCCTTTTCCTCCTCCTCCTCCTCCTCCTTCTCCTCCTCCTCCTCCTCCTCCTCCTCCTCCTCCTCCTCCTCCTCCTCCTCCCCCTCCTCCCCCTCCCCTTCCTTCTCCTCCTCCTCTTCCTCCTGCTCCTCCTCCTCCTCCTCCCTTTTCCTCCTCTTCCTCCCTTCTCCTCCTCCTCCTCCTCCTCCTCCTCATTCTCCCCTTCCGCCCTGTTCCGAGCCCCGCGTGCGCGACGTAAGACAGATGGGGTCGGCTGCGCCGGCACTCGCGCGCGAGCTTTCTTCCTGAGGTCGCGCGCGCCCTCAGGAAATGGAGTATACGGTGGGGGCGTTCGTTAAGGAATGTGCACAGTAGGTCTCAGACCCTGGAGGATTCCTTATATGATGCGGGTGACGGTGACGTCCATGGCCAAACATCAGTTGGAGTTCCACGGGCTTCCAGACCCTGGATCCCTTGTCTAAGGGTTCCTTATCCAATGCCCCCACCGTATACATTACCAGTGGCGGGCTGCGTTTCAATCCCGGAACCGACACATGTATACACCAGGGCCCCGTGTACAGCAGGATTTGGGTGGAGGAAGACGTGGGGAGGAGAGGGAGGAGGAGGAGGAGGAGGAGGAGGAGGAGGAGGAGGAGGAAGAGGAGGAGGAGGAGGAGGAGGAGGAGGAGGAGTAGGAGGAGGAACATGAGGAGGAGGAGGAGGAGGAGGAGAAAGAGGAGGAGGAGGAGGAGGAGGAACTTTCAACGCAGAACCAGAAAAACCGTCGGTGTATAGGGTTCGGTTCCCGATGCACCCTCGTCTCTGCCGTGGCGGGACACGCTGGCGGCTCGCGCGCAGGCTGCGGCGTCCGGTATCGCCGCGCCCTCTGGCGCAGGGCCCCCTGCTGTTTCTCTTCGTCGCTTCGCTTTGGGCGGAGCAAGCGGCGGGGGGGTCGGAGGAGGAAAAGGTACCCATCCTCTTACCCCCCCGCCCGTTTTCCCCCTTTTGGGCCCTCTGGGCAGCCCTCGTCGCCACCGCTGGATTCGCCCCGGGAGAAGTCTGGAAGTGGCGGTATCGGGGGGGGGGGGGGGCGGCGACCGCCGGCGCAGAGGGGCGAGGCGGCCGGCGGAAGGGACAGCGAGACGCCAACGTGTTGGATCCAGGACTTCCGGCGTCGGCCACGTGTGCCTTCGCATGGGGGCAACCCTTCCTCAGGGGCAACGATCGGGGGGGACAGGCATAGGGGGGGAACGCATCGACCCCCGATCGCCCATTGATCGCCGATGGGGTCCCAATCGCGCAATACTTCCCTGGAACGTTCGGATTCACTACCGGGGGCCTCTCGCCGATCTATCGGCATTACCTCGCCGACTCCAGGTGGATGCTTCCCCCCCCAACGCCTATCCCCCCCTTGTCGTTTGTCCCTCGTTGCCCCTTGGGTACGCCCAGGGTGCCAGCGGGAGGCCGGAGATGACGTCACTCCACGAGCTCATGCGGAGTCTCCAGCGGGATGCCCCCGCACGCTGACCCGAGCTTGCCTTGGCCTCTCTGCGAGTGGCCACGCGCAGGGCGGCAGCAGCTTCGCGCGCTTGGGCTGTCCGCACGCCCGGGCCCCGAGACGAGGCCCCACCCCCCCCGGGCGCCCTGGCATGCGCCTGTGCGGTCGTCGCCTCCTGAGCTCCTCCCCTCCTTCTCCTCCCCCTCCTCCTCCCCCTCCTCCTCCTCCTCCCCCCCCCCCCTCCTTCTCCTCCTCCTCCTCCCTCCGCCTCTGCTTCCTCCTCCTTCTCCTCCTCATCCTTCAGCACGCTGGTCCGAGCCAGGCCTCGCCGCCCTCCACACGGGGACCAGGCGTGGGGCCTGCCCACCGGGGCTCAGCTGCCAGGCTACTGAGCCTCCCCGCTGGCTGCCCACCGTAGAGCCGTCGCCAGTCCTGGAGCCCCTTTTGCCCCCTCGGGGGTGCGGTGGGGTGCTCCTGCCAGGGCTCCAGGGGGAGAAACAAGGGTTGCATCAGCCCAGTCTTGCTGGGGCACTGCTTCTGCGGGTCGCGGGTTTCCCGCCCGAGCTTGGGGCATGCACCAGAGACCGCCCCCCCAACAGGTAGACGACACCTCGTGCGTCGTCGCAGAGGTGGTAGAGTGGACGGAGGCACACAAGAGGAGATATATGCCTCGACCCCCAATGTTTTTCTGGAAGGAGTTCTTGTCCTGCGGAAGCGGATGCGCTGCCGACGATGACGAGGACGACTTGGAGGAGTACGACGGCGGCATGCGACCGCATGGGATGAGAAGCCCACGGCATGTCCGGTACCACGAGCATTCCCGCACTGAGTCCCGAGTTGATGAGAGCAGCAGCAGTGATGATGAGCCGTCCGCCTGTGCAGTAGCGTGAGCGCTCCGCGCTCCATGGCTAGCAGAAGACTGGCGTGTCCAGAAACATCAGCTGGGCATCAAGTTGGTTTGTCCAAGCTGGCGCTTTCAAAGGTGGATGTACGAAGTCACCTCCCGACATGTTGAGTGATCGCAGCTGTTTGCGTGCACGGATCTGCAGCTTGGGCTACCAGGCAGGATTTCTCTCTGATGCTGTTTTCCTTCAGGGTGCCACTGGTGCTCCTGTACTGTCGGGACGTTCTCATTTCCCCCCTGAGAGTGCTTGCACTAAAAGAGAGTCTGACTTCGCTTACCAGAGGGATAAGGAGGCGGAGGCGGAGGCGGAGGCGGAGGCGGAGAATGACTAGGAGAGGGAGTAGGAGGAGGATGAGGAGGAGGAGCTGGAGGAGGGGGAGGATGAGGAGGAGGAGGAGGGGAAGGGGGAGGAGGGGGCGGAGGAGGAGGAGCAGGAGGAGGGGGAGGAAGAGGAGGAGAAGAGGAGGAGGGGGAGGAGGAGGAGGAGGGGGAGAGGGAGGAGGAGGAGATGGAGGTGGAGGAGGATGAGGAGGTGAGAGAGAAAGAGAGAGGAGGAGGAGGAGGAGCAGGAGGAGGAGGAGCAGGAGGAGGAGCAGGAGGAGGAGGAGGAGGAGGATGAGGGGGAGGAGGAGGAGGAGCAGGAGGAGGAGGAGGAGGAGGAGAAGGGTCAAGTTTCTGGCGCGCCTCCTGGGCGTCCCGTGCGCTGGTCGATTAGGTCCGCCAGGGACTTGTCGTCCCTGGTTCATTGGGTGCCTCGTGCCATGTTGGATTTCAGCGTGGGTCCGTCACTATAGAGAGGGTCATGAAAGAAACGTTGAAACACAGATTACGCCGATCTGTGCATATGCGGTTTGGCAAAGCGGGGCGGCATCCACGCGACGCCAAGGAGCGTCGCGGACTCGAGCCTTTGGCCTGGACGCACGCACGGCACCGCCGTGGGTGGGTCTCTCGGGGAAGATCGTCAGGAGCCCGAGGTTGTGGCCAGTCGTTGATGCCTCGGGGTTGGACTCACTCGGGTTGAACGCATTCTCTGGTTGCCACTCGCGCTTTGAAGTTGGATGTTTCTGGGGCGCAGCCTCGTACTTCCGAGGTTGCTGGGGCGCTTTGCTGTCGGATGTCGCGGGGGATAACCCCCACGGGGGTTAGCGGACTTGGCAGCGGTCGTTCATCGGCTGTCACTCGCTGCCACCATCGGTCCTGTTAAGGGGGAAAACAAAGTCGTTGATGCCTCCTGGTTGCCCAGCGCGCTGGATGGATCTGCCGGGGTCTCCGCCTGGCGCCCAGTTGGTAGCCGGTCGTGGGCGCCTCGCTGGCGCCCTGTACGGCCTGTACGTAGCCAGAGTGGGTCCGCTGAGGCTTCGTCTTGCGCCCGGTCGGTGGCCACTCGTCGGTGGCTCGTCGGTGGTCCTCCGGGGATTCGCCCGGTGGCCACCCGTGGGCACCTCGTCGGTGCCCCGCGCGCTGGCAAGGTCCGCCGAGGTTTCGCTTGGTGTCCGCCCGGGGGGGGCTTGTGGTGGCTGCCCATGGGCGCCCGCGTGCACCATACGGTTCGCTTCCACCAGGCAGCTGGCACCACATAGCTTGCGCCAAACCGCAGAGACTGCAACGCACACGCTGCACCACACATGTTGCACCAGGCAACTGACACCATGATAGCAGACTACATGGCTTCTTCCACATGAGCTGCACCGCGAAGATTGCTCCAGAGAGAGCGCACCAAGTATACACGTGTAGGATCAGAGTGAGGGGGCGGTGGGGTCGCTGGCAGTTTGCGACGTTCGATCACATATTTCAAGAAGCGCACCGCAGGCGCCGACATTGTTTTGTGATAGCACTGTGGGCGGGTCGCGGGTGGGCCGCGGGTGGGTCGAGGGCAGGTCGCGGCCCGGTCGCGTCGCGGATGGGTTGCGGGTGGGTCGCGTCGCAGGAGGGCAACGGGTGGGTCGTGGTGCGGGTGTGTCGCGGTTGGGTCGACGACGACAATAGCAACAACGGTGATAATCCGCACCGCGGAACCCCACTACAGCCACCCACCCATAACCGTGCATGACAGCTCTGCCACCTCACTCTGATATATTTCGCAACCAGGTTGCAATAACGCACTGTTTGGGGTCCACGCTGGCAAATAGTTTCGTTCATGCTTTCTTCGACGGTGAGCCGGCGGTGTCCGAAAGCGTCTGGTGGGCGATCGTGCGCGATGTCACAGTAAAGTGCCGTAGTTGGACGAACCTGGTTGGTGCCCGAGATAATGTGCCACCTTGCCACACATTTCAAGCACATACGACCCACAATCAGATATTACACATTGATCGAACTTCGACGCTGTCGACGTATGAACAAGGACTGTGCGTTCTAAATTGACTCGCCCGTGTGCGTTTCTCACACATGGGCTCACTCCTACACGCACCATCTTGAAATTATGCCCCCCCGACCGTGCACGCCTCTGTGGTGAGCAGTGGTGATCGTCGAAGCCTGAAAATTCAAGGGGCACGTCCCTGACCCTGATGACCGGACAGCAAGAACTGGAGGCAAAGGGGAGGGGGCGATGTGCGAGGAGGCCAGCGCAGCCTTCAAAACCTGGGCCCCGTTTTCCTACAGCCATTGAGGTGCCTGACATACGAGTGTAGCCAGACCCTGGCACGTCTGGAAATATGGAAGCAGAACGGCGCCAAGCCACAAGCTGTATAGCCAGACCAGATCATAAGGATGAGTCAGCTGCCAGGGCACCCTTGCATCATTGCCCCATCGGCTCATTCTAAACCTGAACTAGGGACCATGAGCTCTGAACTTCGGCATCAATTTGGAGGGCCGGGTTTCTTTACCGCTCGTCTTGTGTCATTGTGGTTATCGTTCTCCTCGTTTGACCTTGTTAATGGTATGCAGCGCCAAGCCAGTATTGATGGTATCAGGCTCAATGTGTCTCCAGTTGTCAGCCATTTCATTCAGTTGCGGTCATTGATATCAAAACTTTTTCGTTCATGCCAGACAGGTTCGCGCGTGTATGGGCAACCGCTAGCGTGCAAGAGGTAGGAAAACTTGGCTCGCTGTTTGAAAATTGATGGAGCACGTTCTGCGGCTTTGAGAAGAGAGAAGATGCATAACAGTGTGCGCACATAAACCTCCGAGTCAGATAACATGACGGTCCCGTTGTGGATAAGGGTCGAGGGAGTTCCAGTATCTTCGGCGCACGCGAGGGTCCAGAACGCATGGGAACAGACTTGCACGCACGGTGGTTAAGCCGGTTGCAGCAAGCTAGCCAGCATTGTGGATTAGAATAGAGAAGTGATTTGCCATTCGACCGAGAAATACTTAGGAATTCGGTCAACATGCTTCGTTGCTGACAGGAATTCGTCAGTTCAGCGTCGACCTGATGCATGCTCCAATGCCAGGTAATTCGAGCGGCGCAGATGGATAAGCCAATGCAGCTAAACGTGAGAGGACTCGTGCGACTTGCCAAAAAGATGCGTTCTGCCAGTTGCTTATGTTAACTCAGGGTGGAAGGTACACAGTACGTTGTGAGTGCGCGAGTCGATGATTGACCCAGGGGCACTAAAGAATTGTAATGAATGACGTGTTCTTGCTTGCGATGTTTTCTTCGCTTCACATCTTGCTCGGCGCGGCTCGCAGGCGCAAACATCTTATCTGCATGTGCGAATGCTGTTTCTCACCCCCGCCCATATCCGCCCCCCAGGCTCTTCTACGCTGCCTTCACTCTGGCGGGCAGTCCACCAAGTCGAACTATGTTCATTCTTGTCATCCTCCCCTCGCCCCCTATATCTTGCTGATCTCCCCTCGTGCGCGTCCAATGCGGACGTGGAATGCGCTTCAATGTTCGTGGCAAGTCAAACTCCCGAGGCCAGGCGGACTCTTCGCGCATGCATCGCAGGAGTACCGAGAGAAATCTGCAGAACGGTTGCGCTACATTGGCCGTGGTCGGATACGTTTGATCGTGTCCGTGTTCACTCACGGAGCATTAGCCGGCAAAGCGGACGGCAAGGCTTACAAATTCCGAAATTGTTGTTGACGGGAAAGCCCGGCGCACCCCCACCCGTCTATTCTCCAGATCTCTCCCGGTGTGCGTTCTGATCAGCATTTCGAAGCTAATCCAGAGGTGGTGACGAAGGCCTCCAGGGAGGCTCAAAAGTTGGGAAAACGAGGTAAGAGTAGCGGTATGGGTACCTCTTCCTTTTCTGATTCGAGGGGAACGAAGAATGACACAAGCATAAAATCATGGAGGTCCGCGCGGATTTCTACGATCGGCGCTGGACCCCCCCCCCCTGGCGCGCGGGGCGGCGCCGGATCCGAGCAATCCGCGCGGACCTCTAAGGTTTTATGTTTATGCCATTGTTCGTTGCCTTATTTTCTGACTCATGGGCAGGATCTTTCTGGCAGGACTCTTTTTTCACCAACGGAGGGTTCGCGTCGTGTCGACCAGCGGCGACCCCGCCGCTGGCGTTCGACGTTAGACGCCGCCGGCGACCCAGAGTCGCTCGATGTTGAACGACCGGATGTTGCGGAAAGGGCCGATTGTTCAAGGTTGACCAATCCCCGCGGTGTCAGGAGCCAAGGCTGGGGTCGACACGACACGAACCTGTCGTACGGAGCAGCTCCAGCGCCAGAGGCAACACCGTCGAGACCCTGCGGCTGGGTCCCTGTGGGCGGGACCCTCGCGACTACAGCTCCCCCCCCCCCGCCCCGGGGGAGCGAAGACCTCCTCCTCCCCCATCCCCCCCCCTCCTGCTCCTCCTCCTCCTCCTCATCCTCCTCGTCCTCCTCCTCCTCCTCCTCCTCCTCCTCCTCCTCCTACTCCTCCCCCTTCCCCTCCCCCTCCCCATCCCCATCCTCATCCTCCCCACCCCCCCCTCCCCGTCCGTAACCATTTTGGCTCAAGATGCTTTTTCCCTCGGGGAGCAAAACGGATACCGTTAGTCCGCGGCCAGTTCCAACCTTTTCTCGCCAGGGCCTGATCCGCCTCAGGTCCCTGGG